CTGTCCAAGGCTGCTCACAGTCCCATCCAGTCTGGCCTTGGAACACTTACAGGGATGGGGCAGCCACAGCTTCTCTGGGCAACCTGTTCCAGTGACTCACCACCCTCACAGGAAAGGTGTGGATTTTAAACTGTATTATTTCTTGGTCAGAAACATTCTAGTTTCTGTAGGAATGCATCCTTTATCAACATTGCTGTAACTTTCTTCCTTCATGTTAAAGTAAAAAATGTTTGTGCCATTTAACTAAGGATAATATAAATCTTATTTTAGTCAGCAGCTCAAAGTGAGAACAGCCACGGTCAGGGGCTCCTTTTGTTTGACTGAATGTGTTCTGTATTGCAGGTTTTGTCTCAGTAATCATCTTACACTGGTGAATTAAAAACTAGTTGCTTACTCTTTAAAGTAGTCCAAATTCAGATGAAAGAAGACCTAAAATAGCTTAACATGTGTTTGAAAATTTTATATCTGTAAATACTTTTAATATATTTGACAGTCATATAGGATATCCTAATTCATTGTACTGTATGTGCCCATTCTTTTATGTTCTTCTTTTATATTCAGGTCAAACCGTTTCCTTATTGAGAAACAATGTTGCTTGTATTAAACACAAATTACTGGCTTTTTACATGCTGTTTTCTTATTAACTCTTATCTCACAATTTCAATGTTCCTGCCTAAAAAGCTACCAAGGAAAAGTCTTACTATTCTTAAATACTTTAATATCTTACATGCTCGTCATTTGTGTGTGAAGAGTTCTTTAACAAAACCAACAATTTTATTGGAAGAGTTGTGCCCACTTTATATTACACTTGATATTTGAACAGAAACAGCAAAAAGTAAGAATAAAACCTAAGAAGACCAAGCTGTAGTCCGATGAATATGATTTTTAATTGCAGAAAGTTCTTGTAGTTAAGGATTTGACAGTGATGAGGCATCAAAGTTTGTTTCAGCTCTGTGGAAGGAAATACGTGATTATTCGTGCTCTGAAGTTCATTGCCGTGTATTTTAAGGATGCATAAGTATATGGTCTATCAAATTTGTTATTCCATAGACCAACAGATATCCAGTGAATTTTTATTTTTGTATTTAACTATGAAGTTCTAGTTCCTTTAATAGCTCTAGAACTTCGAAGGCATTTACAGAAGTTTTTAACTGTTGCCTACACTTCAAGGAGAGCAGAAAAGTTTTGGATACATTAGAATGATTTAGGGCATATAAATACAGATTTGTTTCCTTGCTCTGTGTTTCTTGTGAAAATAGGTATTAAAAATAAAACAATACCCAACCCTGATCCTTCATTTTATGAAAAATGAAATGTTTTAATTAGTTAAAATAATTCTGGATTAGGTTTTGTCATACGATAATTAAAAGTATATATGGCAGTAATATATAACCTGATTCCCTTAAATGCTGTTAATTTCAGTGACTTTTCTAGGATAAGTGCTTTTTTCTTCCCTCTTCTCTCTTCCACACTCCAGCTTTAAAGCAGAACAGGACAGATACTGTTTTATTCTTTGCAAAGGAGTTTGGGAATCAGGGAATCTACTTCCAGTCTGAAACTTGCTATTTGTTTTTAGTCATCCATTTGTTGAGCTCCCTTTTCTGCAGACATGATTAGTGTAAAGGAAAAAAAAAAGCTAATTAAGAAATATACTGAGGTTTTGGGAAGAATTAAAACAAATGGCTTCACTTATGTTATAGCTTCATTTTTCACATTTCCATTTAAGAATAAAATTACTGGTATTATTTATTTCAATGTGTGTTTAGCATAGCTTACATGGGCAAGCAAACTGAATATAACGAATTACCACAAAGCATGTTTAGTGAATGGAATGTTCCAAATTGGTTTTGGCTGAAATTCCTGATGTTTGTGTACCTGCATACTTGATTACTGTTTCTTTCTTTCTTTGCATACTTAATTCCTTCCTAATTAATTGCTCTGTTGATTTCCTACATAATTAATTATTCACTAATTAGCCATTGATTCCCTGCATAGTTAATTAACTTACTCCTTATTTGATTTTTACACTAAATTGACTATAATTCATTGCTTTATTGCTACACCACCTAATTAGCAACTGGTTAATCAATTATTGTTTGCTTATTCCATACTTGTTTAGTCTGGTGATCAGCACAGTTTATCCTCTGCTCTCTGACCTCCTTTTCCAGTCATTCTTGCTAAAATAATTTCTTTGCTCAGTTTGGTTTCCACCTCTCCTCTGGGCAAAGCACACACATCTTCTGTGTGATATACTGGTGCTCCCTGCACCTTCACTGACACACCGTCCTCTGCCTCCAGTTCTCTTCTGGGGTTGGTCCAGCTTTACTTGTTTGATGGTTTTGGTAATCAGACACTTTAAACAACCACGGGGACCTTTGGGGATCCTTCTTGCCCTTCTGCCCATCTCCCTGTCCTCCCTGGGAGGAGTGGGAGATAAGGGGGTGTGCAAGTACCGATTACAGCTGCTGGAAGAGGAGACAGGAGACGAAAAGCAGTGAACCTGAGCCTCTAGGGAAAACAACCAGCAGGTGAGGAAGCAGAAACAAGTGACAAATAAAACCTCAAAACAGAAGCGGCAGCTAAATCATGGAATTTCAGTAATTTTCAGTCATTTCAGTTAAACCTTTAGGTAAATGCTTATAGGTTTTATTGTGGGTCTTAAATGTGCATTTGCATTTAAAGAAAACAGTTGTCATCCACTGGGTCACAAACATGCTTCACTCACTTAAAAGAAAAAAAAAAAGAATGGTGCTAACTAGAGCAGAACTAGTTCAAAGGAACATTTCCATTATAAACACGCTGCAATCAAAATAGAAATATCTGTGTGCCTGAGACAGCAGAAAGGCTGAGAAGGAACCCCACCGAGCTCCCAAGAACACGCTGAGTGTACCGTACATTTACATGGCTGCCTGTGTGTAACACAGAGGACATGTCAAACAACAGGAGCAGCATTGGAATTGTTCTTCAGAGATGTCTTGAAAGAGATGAAGGCATAGTCTGCCTTTTAGTTTTGAGGAGTGCTTTTGTTATGTTTCAAGTACAGATAACTGTAAAAGAGAGATACCTCTGCTCCTCTTAAATTTCATGACACTTTAAAGAAGGATTTTTCTTGTGTGTTGGGGGGAACTGTATAATTAATGTGTCATGAGGGAAGTGGAATAATGCTGTAGAGGGTAGTGATTTTTACTTAGGATTGTTTTGAAAATAGGTCCCAAAATACAGATCTCCTGTTCTCTTACCCCTGGATTCATCCCAAAGTTCACAAAATATCACTTTTATTTTTGTATTTATTCATCTGATCTGTGATTTGGCTTGTACCTCAAATAGTGTTGCTTGTTCCAGGTTGGTTTCAGTGGATGGATGGACATAATTTTCCGTAGGGAGTGACACCAGTCTTTGGGACAGGACTTTATATGTGTGTCCTGGGAGAACAAGCACGTTGTTAAAATTGGCTCCTCTTTATTTTTAGGTTTCATTGGACCCTGAAGGGAGCAGGGCAGGGACTGTTGAAAATTCAAACCATTAAACCAAATAACATCAGTTTTAGAGAGAACAAAGTCCCCTTAATTTCTCTGCCAGAAATTTTTGAGCTTTTTTTTTTTTTTTAGCTGAGATTATATTAATCCTTCTTTATTGTTACTTACATTCCTGAGGTTTCGCTTTCACATCACGCCTCAAGTACCTGTGAATTAAAAAAATAAATAAAACAAAAACAAAAAACAAAGTTTTGTCTAAAAAGTTGTGTCAAATTGCTGTTTAAAGCATTGACCAAGGAGAGTTTTAGTGAAATTTGTTGTTTGCTGCTGCTCTGAAGGTTTTTAGTCTGTTGGTTTTTTTTTCTTTTTTAATCAACGGGAAGGTTTCATGAAACTTTTATGTCAAAGTGTATGAAATACCAGATGGTTTTTTTAATGTTGAACATTAATATTGCCTCTGTGGCTGATTTGTTCTGATAAGAGCACAATTTTTGTCTCCTCTCTTAAATTTTACTCCTATTCCTGCCTATTTTTCTCCATGTAGGTGGGTCAAAATGAGGCTTGATACTTTTCAGAGTGGTCATAACTTTTTCAAACATATTGGGATAAAAGCAGAAAAAAGTGATGTTTGTACAGCTTTGAAGTGAACGGCCTGGAGGAGGAAGGATGTGATTACATGGCTGTGACTGTCATGTGATGAACCACTTTGTGGTTGGCAGCACTGCAGATGTTTTGACCTTCCTCTCCGCTCTTTCATTATGGCAGAGCCACATCTAAGGATGATGACCCCTGAAACCATGCACTTAACATTTGTAGCTCAAGATTTGTGCCTGTGGTAATGTTCTAGGGCAAAAATGACATATCAAAGCATACCTTTTTTATAAAAATATAATTATTTTTTACTATAGTGAGGAAGTTTTATCTTTCATGGTGTTTAATTTTTCCTCCTTTCTTTTGTTTCCAGCACTTACACAAGTAATTAGAGAGTTAGACTTGTTTAGGTGTGAGGTAAGTAGAAAGGTCAAGTATATAAAAAGTAACAGTGAGGTCCGTGAACATAAATTAGGATTTGGAGCCTAACTGTATTTCAGAGCTGCTTTGTAGGATAAAATATTTTGCATTTATACCAATGTGATACACAACAAAACTGGACAAGGACTTCATGTCTTATATAATTTTACCATGTGTTTGAAAATATATAAAATTGTAATGTTGCCTGAGGCTGGAAGGGAGAAATAGGTCTTAATCTGTCCTGCTTGCTTTTGGGCCTTGTTAGGAAATTTCTAAGGTTTAAGCCAGAAGTTTTTAGCCCTGTGACGACCTGGGTAGGAGTTTAACCATTTCTTAAATTAATTCATTCTGGGATGTATTATGAATGTGTTCATTTAATTATATAACATTCTTTGTTTCACCTCGTTACTGTCTGTTGGGTGCATTAAGTAACCAAAACCTCAATAACTACTGGTAGCACAAATAACTTAATTTTGAAAATATTAATTACTTGTTTTTAAACTTGTTTTTCAGGGATCAATTCCATCTTCATGTGTAAGCTTTGTAACTTATTTTCACCAAATCAGTCCGAACTGTTGTCTCATGTCTCCGAAAAGCACACAGAAGAAGGAACCAGTGTGGATGACATTATTATTCCTCTCCAGCCTCTAACAGTGCCCACAAACACAAGCAAAGATGGAGAAGGTACATTCATAAATTGAGAGGAATGTAATTTTCAGTGTTACTTGTTTTTTTAATAAAGCCTGTGGTGTGATGATTCTGTGTTGTGTACAGAGTGATTTAAATAGTTTGTTTTTATAATAATCACTCTACAATTGCCACCCTGGATTTCATTCAGCACAGAATAGATCATATGACAGATGAGGATAAACTCAACATGTCAGAGGGGATGATGGCATTGGTTCATTAGTTTTAAATGTCAAGTACAGCAAAGTCTACTTCCTACAGCTTTAATTTGAGCTGTGTAATAGCAGTGGGAAGATTGTATAACAGCAGTGGAAAGCAAGCAGGACACCATGGATGAGAATGTATCTTGACGCTTAGATGTGCTTCTTGAATTGTCTGACTTGTTTGTTGTGATTCAGGTAATATTAGTAGTTCTATTTCAGTAAGGCAGTGGCACGATTCATAATTTATAACTGTGTTTTGATATTGACAGTGGTAAATACAGCAGTCTGGTAGTCAGAGGTTGAATTACTTATACAGAACAATTTTACTCTGCAGTGTCAGAAGTTACATTCATTCCATTTCATTTTTAACTGATCATAATTGCCATCTCTTGGAATATTAGCAATAGATTCAGACTTCATAATTAAACTTCTTTTGTTCCCCTTACTGAGTAATGGATTTATATTGTAGGCAAACCTCTTACTTAACACAAGTACGAGGATTTCCCAGTCATGATTTCTGGATTTAAAAAACTGTGTGCTTATAAATCAAAAGCACTCTAATATCATAATTTAAAGAATTTTTTTAACATTAATGTGTGTATGTGGTTTCTCTTCACTTATTTACCTGCAGTAATTATATTAACTTCAAGGTCATACAGTATTCCATTATAATTTCGTGTCCTCAAATGGTTGGTGAGGAAGAATCACACCAGATTATTATGTCACACAATGCCCAAAATTACCAGTACATCGGGAGATGGTGAATGAATTTCAAATCAGGTTTCAAAATGCAATTCTAATTTTATTTTATTTGTATAAAGTGAGTTCCCCTGGCATGCAGAATGCATCTTCCATTTTTGCATCTTTGTTTCCTGTTATTCGTTCACTAAACGGTGTTTCTGAGCACAGTACACTGGTGGTACTTTGTAACACATTCTTACTCCTTTTAGTAAAAAACTCTCCTGTAAACTTCTCTTTGCATTTGTGTCAGGACTACCTGACTTTCTGTATTGTACGTGTTCAACATGCGTTGTATATTTATGAGAATGGTTTGTAATTGCCATTATGATCTGAAGCAACAGAAATTAGACATATAGGTTTTAAGAAATAACTTTGCAAATCTAATTATGTAAAATATAACATTAATATGTTAAATTACATATCCATAAATTACCTTCCTGATTATTCTTGGTGAATACTTTTATTCATCTGATATACTCATATGGTGCCACCTTTTTTAGATTATGTAGCCCAGCTCTTTGCCATCTGCTGTCAGTGAGAGTGTCAAGGTAAATTACTTTCCCATAGATTTCAAATTGTATTCTAGGCATAGCTCCTCTTAGCATTTTTCCTCTCCCATCACACAGACTGATTGGAGAAGAGGGTTCTGATGTCCCATTCAATTATTTTCTGTGTTCTGTTTTTAAAAAATTGGGTTTTCTACAATTTAGGAATTGGAAAGAGTTCTTCTTTCAAAGCATTCGATTTTCCCTCCTGTTACAGAATGTGCAGCAGCTGAAAAGTTTATAATGTACAATTTTTTGTCAGTGAACTAGTCTCTGTAGTAATTCAGTATTGTCACTGGAAGGAGAAATAATTGATGAATGACAGTCTTAGAAATTACAACTTCCTTTTAGTACTTGGTGACTAATAGATGAACATCTTTTTGTCCTTTGAAAGCCAAGTGTCTCTTCCAAGTATTGGTAAGTGCTGTAGCTCTTCCACAGTTGGTATAGATGAGTGAATGCTGAGTTGCTAATGGAGCTCTTTGTTCTGCCTGAATAATAAATTAATGGTTTTATAAGTACTGCGGACAAGTAAAGTGCTAGGCAAGTAATCTATGTTTATTACTCTGATGTTATTTTATTGACAGTGCTCTCTGCTGAATTTTGTTTAGTCACGCCACTTTCCCATTGTTAAGTCATGGTCTATTTAGAGTTGATTTGTCCTAAACATTTTGGTAGGACAGTGTTAGAATTTTGTTATGAAGTGGGACCAAGGGTAGCAGGCAGATGTTGCTGTTACACAACTGTGTCACATTTTGTCCAGCACTGGAGTGTGACATCTTTGCTTGGGAAAGGACAGGTATTTACTGGGAATTGTAGTCACTCATACTCCAGTTTTTTGTAGGACTTCCTTTCATAACTTTTCACAGTGATCTCCATTTCCTTCAAAGTGCTTTGCAAAACTCTGCTTTCTTTTTGGCTTCTACTTAGTCGGATTGGTGAAGATTTAAGGGACAGCATCAATGGCCCTGGCTTCGTCTATTCATAATGTTATTCCCTGATGGATCACTGTTTGTTTTAGGCTATATCTGCGTTATGGGATACATACCCTGTCAGTTATGAAACCTTGAAGAAAGTTTCAGCCTGAATATCATAACTTCCTCCAAGGAGTTTATCTCATTAAGGTCACTTAAAACCATGGCATGTGCATCAGCCTCATCCTTGCTTGAACACAGCACACAACCAGAGCAGACATTCACTCTTGAGGGATAAGAGGTATTCTGGGTACTGTGATACACAGGCAGAACAGTAACAGGATAAGGTTGTGGATGAGATGTATTTGTATGACACCTCGTGCAGAAGATTCTGAATACAGCCATGTACTGTTGCAATGGATGAAATATAAGCTTTTTACACTGACATTTGAGGAATGATTCATGTTGCATAATGCATTGACCTGCTAAGATTTGCTCAGGATGTTTAAATGAACACCTGCAGTTGTGACTTCTGACAAAGTTCTTGTATTAAATAGATTGATTTGGAGAACCTTCTGTGAATAATTTCTATGAAGGAACAGTATAAAAACAGACATATAGTTTATTTCATTATTTTCTGTTTGAAGTGCCTTTTGTATGTCTTTGAGTATATAATTATACAGCACAGCACAGAAAGTCTTCCCTGAGTATTTCTGTTGCTCATCCAATACCAGTCAGTGTAAAGATTGGTGTCAGTGAGTTTGTAATGAGTGTAAAATCCCCAGAAACAACTAATTTGTTCTTGGGGGAACAGGATCTTACTTTAAAATCTTTTTAATGACCAATTTAATACTTCTAGGTCTGACTAAGCATCCTTGAAATAAGTGTTAGGATTTTTTTCATTATTTATTTAATACACTGCTTTATTTTTAGCAGTTAAGCAGATTCTTTTTTCTAGCAAGTGATGTTTGATTAACTTGGTTATGTGCTGGCAGATGAATGACAATGTGCTACTATTAAATTGCAGTGTGTTGTTAATCTTAGGTGGTGCTTTGAGCTGGAACTATATGATGTAGTGTGAAGGACCCACTGGGGCCAAGCTGGATAGAGAGGCAGCTGGAATTTATGGTCATGTGCATCATTAAAAATTTAATTCTTGCATCACTAGCTCAAAGTATCTTGAGATATATTTTGTTCTGGAAAGAGGAAACCAAGGAGCAGGGAAAAGAAAGGACTGTGATAAGCCTCAAAAATTCTGGTGATGTGTATCAGTGGCCCATCTGAGCCCTTCTCTTCCTGTGCTTGTTGCTGCCCTGCACTTACCACCACCCTTTTAAATGTTTGGGGACGGCTGTAAATTCTCCTGCTGATGGGCACATTTACAAACATTTGTAAAATTTGCAAATCCTTTATATATTTGCCACACCATTAGTAGTCACAGTGATAAGAACTGCAATCTCTGTAAGCCATAGCAGAGGTTCCACCACCAGCCCTCTAAAGTAGTGCTTTTCACATTTCCACTGTTGTGCAAGATTTTTTTCAATTTCTGTCTTAATGTGAAAGTGCTGCTCTGTTTTTCCTGAAGTTTACATTAAAACAGTCAGGCAGAACCATGTCTTCGACCTGATTTTTCTTAATTTCTTTTGTTGGGTAATCTGATGATTGTGTTGTAAAAGAATTGAAAGGAATATCATACACAGAGAATATGGTGTTTGCATTCACTCTTCCAATCGTGGGATTTCATTATTTTACAGTAACCTGAGCAGTATCCACATCTGTATTCCTCATGTTGGATGCATTAACCAAGTGTGAACTTTTGACAGTTTGATGTAAAGATAATTATTGTTTGTTGGCTTGTTTTAATTGTATGTTAATTTCTTCAACTCCAGGCACCGAATACTGACTACTGTGATCAATGGATATCAAAATAACATGACTAGTAGCAAAGAGGAGTTTTGAGAGCACTGAAATCACCCCTTTCTTTTTGGCTAATAATTGACAAAACTACTTTTGCTGAAGTAGCACAAAAGTTCAGGGCACTGATGGAGAGTTGCAAACATTTATGGGGAAAGGGTTACCTTTTTTCTGTTCATAATGAGGTTTTTGGTGGTTTTATTTCATTTATTTAAGCAGACATGTACTCAATCATTCCTATAAGAAGACAGAATGCTTTCTTTTTCATTTGTTAATAATTAAATAATTAACTCAAAGCAGTGGTCTCTGAACGTAGGGTTTTGTTTGCCTGGTATACTTAAGAGAAATGCTGAATAGATTATGAATAAGATGCTGCCACCACCTCCTCATCTCCTATATTATCCTCCCTTAAGGTGCCTTGAGGTCATTTATTTTTCCATATGCTCTAAATCAGCCAATGTAATAAGGTCTTTTGACATCTGGACTTGAAAATTATTTGTGGTTTGATTTGGGTATTTTTAATATTCTCTCTTTTTGTAATATTTCAGACTTTAACATTGTCAATCGCAGTTTGTCAGACTATGATTCTACAGCAGTGATGAGAGAAATGTTAAGCAGAAAGTACAATTTACATTATCATGCATTTCTATGCACTACCTCTCATTGATTTAATCAATATTTTCTCTACAGAAATATGTAAATGTAAAATTATAGGAGTTATGGATGACTTCTGATTTCAATTAAGGGAACATTTTTTGCATGACTTCTGGAATTTATTTGTGACCAGCAATTTTTTTTACCAGCTTTTGGGTAGAAAGTACTAACAATAAATAACCACAGGAAATATTAGGGAGTAATTGTTCAATATATTAAAAAGACAATGAGCTTTTGCTTTTAAAACATGAATTGTTTTTCTCTGGTTACATCTAAAGACAAATAATTTCTGATCTAAATTAACAGGCTTTTTGTAGAGTGTCAGAACACGCAAGTAAAGCAACTTGTTAGAATACATGTGCTGGTACAGTTACACAACAGTCTAGAAGAGTGCTTGCAGTGTAATTTATGTAAAACTGTGGCACTTTGACATCTGCTGATCTCAGTAACACAAACATTATTGCTTTGCAGCCACCAGAAATGCCAGCAAATGCCACCACTTGAAATAAATTTGTGTGATGCTAACTTTTTTTTAAGCTTTCGGGGTAGAGTCTCTCGAACTTCAATTAATGTACCTGTTTTTCAGAGATCAGAGGGAATATTAACTAATTAGCTATAGAATTTAATTATAGCTTCCTTTAAACTTTAACTTTCTTCTCTAGAGCTTCTTGTAGCGAAGAGGAAAAGGGGCAGACCTAAAGGGTCTACTAAGAAATTTTGTGTGGATGAAGATGCAGCAGAAAACAACCCCATTCCAAGTGAAGAAACTCCCCCTGGAACAGAAGAGACCCCAGAACTGTCTGAAGTCTCACCAGGCAGCTTGGAATGTAGGAAATGCAATCGGAAGTTCTCCAACACACGTCAGCTGACTAAACATATCTGCATTATTGTCTTAAATGAAGGAGAGGAAGAAGGAGATGGAGGTAAGAAAATGACGAACAAAAATATCTGAAGCATTTGTGGAACAGTGTGTTTCCACTGTGAGACCTGACTTATAATCCCCAGTGTTTGGTTTTAAATGGAATGGAGTTGTCTGTTTCCTATAACACAAAAAGCATGCTGAAGCAAAACTGAGCATAGAGTCGAACAAAGGATTTTTTATTCAAAATAGTTAAAATGTTTATTGCACTAATGATAGTCTTAAAACTCCCTGAAATATGCTTGTTTTGCATTAGCAACTGTTCTGTTTCTCACAAAGAGGGTTGCAGCTTTTCAGTGAGAAAGGACACACAGATAAGTGTCAGACATAGGTGAGGAAGGATGAGCCTGTACAGGGGCTTCTATCCTGTGACTTGGAAAACCTGCATTCTGTTCTGTTCTTTTGATACAGTCTGCTTTTCTGGATGCCAAACTCACCTCTTCTTTTTTACAAAACTTTATGTAAATAACTGTCCTTGGCGTATGAGAGTTCATTGTGAAAATTTACCTTAAAGATTGAGTTGAATATATCCAGCCTCTTAGAGTTTTAGACTAGAACAGAGCACAATAGAGTATTTTTAGTCAGGAGGAACCTACAATGACCATGTAGTCCAACTGCCTGAGTAGTTCAGGGCTGATTAACAGAGTGTTGTTAAGGGCATTGCTCAAATGTTTCTTAAAGACTGACAGGTTTGGGGTATCTACCACTAATCTAAGAAAGTATGTTGAAAAAGACAGCAGTGAATATTCATTTAGAATAGAATAGTTGGAAGGGACCTACAGTGATCATGTAGTTCAGCTGCCTATTTAACTTTGCTAGAAGGTGAATGTCACATTCATACAAAGCAATGACTTTGTCCAAATTGTCTATGTAAGTTTTGTGTTTCTGTTAAAATGCACTTTTTGCCTTAGCTGCAGTTGCTCAGTATGATATCCTGTTGATTCTACTTGTAAACAAAATTTGCCATTGATTTTTTTCCCAGCTTTCTTATGCCCTTTTGTGTCCAGTCTGTCATTATGATATACAACTAGCATGACTGTTTTACTTTCAGTGTTATCTAGAGTTTAACTTTTGTGGCAAAGCCTAATTAAAAGAAGTTTAGAATATGTTGACGGGGCAGAGAAACTCTTGCTTTGATAAAGAACCTGGTTATATTTTACTATCATCAGTGGTAGGATTTTTCAACTGTCCAGAGCTGTCTCACCCCTGACATCCCAAGGGCCTGTTCCCCTGTCTGTCCTGTAGGTACTGTGTGATTGCACTTAGGATGATCTGCTCCATAACCTTGCTGGGTGCTGAGGTCAGACTGACAGACCTGTAGTTTCCCATATCCTTCTTCCCTTCTTATGGATGGGCATCACACTCACCTGGCCATCCCAGTCACCTGGGACCACTCCCCAGTTAACCAGGACTGATGGTAAATGGAGAGTGGCTTGGTGAGCTCTTCTTGCAGCTCCCCCAGAACTGAGCAGAGAGTCAAGGTGCACTCACCCAGTGCCGAGTACAGGGGGATGGTCACTGCCCTGGTTCTTCTGGCCACACTATTGCTGATACACCCCAGGTGCCATTGGCCTTCTTGCCCACCTGGGCACAAACTGGCTCATGTTTGGCTGGTGTCAACCAGCACCCCCAGGTCCTTTTCTGGTGGGCAGTTTTCCAGCCACTCTGCCCCAGCCTGTAGCACTCCCTGAGGTGGTTGTGACCCATGGGCAGGGCTTGGCACTTTGCCTTACTGAACGTCATACAGTTGGCCTCGGCCCATCGAGCCAGCCTGTGCAGAGCCCTCCAGGTTCACACCAGGGCATGAATTTATTTTTTTGTCTCTTGTTTTTCCTTAATGATTCATCACATGAGGTTGGTTTTCCTGACTACTGCTTACTGCTGAATTTATGTTTTCAGGAACGTATTTAGAAAGACAAATCTTTCCTGTGTTGTAAGAGTCAATTTAGAGCCCATTATTCAATCAGTAAAGCTTTTTTCTTTATGTGCCTTTCTTAGCATTTATTGTCACTGCAGGTGGGAGTCTGTTCCAAATTAGCACTGCTCTGCACATATGTGTGTTTATACACTAGGTTTCTAAGCTTTAGTTATACTCAGCAAAGATCAAGTAAGGAGTTTTGGAGAGCCTGTCCCAGCTCTGGGGCCCCCAGCACTGGAAGAACACCAGCCTGTCCAGAGGAGGCCACCAAGTTGATTAGAGGGATGGAGCACCTCTCCTATTGGGAAAGGCTGAAAGAATTGGAATTGTTCAGCCAGGGAAAGAGAAGGCTTCATGGTGATTTCATTGCAGCCTTCTAGTACCTGAAGGGACCCTACAAGAAAGGTAGAGAGGGACAAGAGCATACAGTGACAGGACAAAGGGGAATGGCTTCAAACTGAGAGTAGGTTTAGATTAGATATTATGAGGAAATTATTGTGAGGTGGTGAGGCACTGGCAAAGGTTGCCCAGAAAAGTTGTGACTGCCCCATCCCTGGAAATGTTCAAGAACAGATAGGATGGGGCTTGGAGCAACCTGGTCTAGTGAAAGGTGTCCCTGCCAGCAGGATTGGAACAAGATGGATCTGTAAGGTTCCTTCCAACCCAAACCATTCCATGTTTCTCTGATACACAGATGATGGTGTTGCTGTCTCAGTACACAGTACTGCAAGTTTTACACCAGGTATTTATTTTGTGTGTGTTTTTGTCTCTGTATAATGTTCAGTGAATATTTTGGTTTCTTGGTTGCTTGGTTGCTTGAGCAGATGTGATCCATACCAAAATTTTCAAGAATAAGCTATCCTAGACATAAAAACTTCTTGAAATCACGCTTATTTTGGTGTACATAAAAAAAAAAAAGACTGAAACTTCTAATTTGGTGAGATTTCACTGTTGCTGAAATTCTTAGAGCTGGATGGAGACTTTTATTGAAGACCTGTGAATCTTCCAGAGTTGCAATACCTGCTCTCACATTTCAGTCACGAGTTCAGAGCAGATGACTAAAAATCACAAGGATCTTGGGCCACAGGTTCTTTAGTCTTTGACATGTTACATAATACATTCAGTTTGGTTTTTATTTCCCCTTTTATTCATGTCTTTCCAACTTGAAGTTAATTTTCTAATGCTTCTGGGATTTTTCTGTCATTCATTTTTACTATTTTCTCATAAAACTTAGCACTATATGGACATCTGATTAATAATCAGTATGTTTTCATTTTCACTGTGTCTGGCTGCAGTGGAGTTAATTTCCTTTTGTAGCAGCTCATATGAGGCAATGTTTTATATTTGTGACCAAAATAATGTTTTAGCTCTTGATAAAATATGCTAAACATACAAATATTGAAAAGATATATATTGAAATTCTATTGAATTCTTTATTGAGAGAAAGATAATATATGTTTTGAGCTGAAGCTCAAATATTCATAAAGGTTTACAAGTAATAAGATGTTTTGCTATCTTTTATGGGTCTACAAGGAAAGTGTTGAAATCCGTAACATAATGAACATTAGTAATTAAAATTAATAAATCGGTATAAAATTCTATTGAAACTGAAGTGTGTATTGGTCAGAGGAATATTTAATGGATACAAAAAAGAAAAAAAAAAAAAAGAAAAAAAGAGTGACCTAATTTTTTGCAAATGTGGTGTGTTGACTCTGGTTGGACTCCAGGTGCTCTGGTGCCCAGTGAAGCCACTCTGGCACTCCCCTCCCTCAGCTGGACTGGGGAGAGATCACTCACCAGTTACCATCACAGGCAAAACAGACACAGCTAGGGGAAATCAGTTTATTACCAATTGATTCAGAGCAGGATAATGAGTAATAAAACCAAATCTTAAAGCACATTCAACCTATGCCTCCCTTCTTCCTGAGCTGTTTGTACACCTGTTTGTTTCTTTTTGGTCAAACCAAGTTAACAGTTCTGGCTAATGATTTGGATCTGGCTGGCTAGTGGTACTGCCATCCAGTGTTTTGTCCTAAGACAAAAACAGAAGGGTTGAGGTTCTTCCTGAACAGCCACATGTTTTCACTGTGTCTGCTTCCAGCCAGAAATCAGAACTGCTTCAGCTTCCAGCGCAGGGTTGGGGTGGGCTTGGGGATTTTAACAGTTGTTTGATTGGCTCAGTTTCACAGCAACTGCCTCTAAGCTTGCTTGTTTTGAGAGATAGACAACAGGTAATTATTTTAACCACCATCCCTCTCCCACACTGCATCATATGTGAATCTCTGTCAAGATGTAAGGATGTTGAAGGGCTGGGGAACAGGATTTGGGTGGAAGACACATTACTGCACTGGACGGTCTATTCTCTTGAATAAGCCATTCATTCATGCTGAATTAGGAGCCTGCATAATTCTTAAAGATGTCACTTTTGGCCTTAGTTTGAAATGTTTTTACCATCAGCTGGATTCTGATTGAAACTAATTCTTCCTGCAAGTAGTATGTCTTTTTCTGCAAGAGAAACAATCGGCTGTGTTAATTTTAAATGGCCAGTTCATCTTTTTTCCAAGCTGCTCTCTTGCTGCTATGAAATATTAGTGCTTTTTAGGGGATAAGAAATAGTAATGTGAGTGAAAAGTAGTTTAAAAACATGCCAGTTAAGGATGTGTAGCTGTGCTCCCGAAGTGTCATACATCCAATTACAAATGCCCAGATCAGTCACTTCAGTTAACAACTCCAGCAGAATCCTGGGACAGATTGGAAGGGACTCTGAAAGCACTGATTAATTCAGAGTTGACAGTGGCTTTACCAATCAACGGAAACACAACCATTTCTTCAATGTGTTCGAAGGCGCAGGCACAGCGTTGTATTTCTTGCACAAACACAAGCAGGCGTTTGAAACTGCTGTCGCTGGGGAGGGGAGGTCACTTCATCCATCTGTTGGATCCAGGTGCCAGCTGACAAAGTGCTGACTGCTTAGCAAGGGAGATGCAAAGTGAGACAGTTTGTTTAAACAAACCTGTTCAGGAGCAAATGATGGCTTTAACAGCCTGGAAAAACTGGGCTTCAGTATTCAAGTGGCATATTCTCCATTTTCTCCTAAATTACCCTCAAATCACTTCTGGGTGTTCCTTTTTTATACAGCTGAATTGTCCTTGTTGTGAGGGACAAAACACTTACTTTTGACACTCTAATCCACAATACTAACACTGGAGGAATTTTTTCCAGGAAGATTAAAGCTAAATTCCAGGAACTAAAAGCTGTTGAGATGGCCCTGTACTCTAAAAAGACCATTTGAGTCCTGTGGTCAAAGTTGAAGCTCTTGTTTTCTATTAAAACATACTTTTGTTTCCCTCTTAATCCCTTCCTAAAGCACCTCTTCACTGTCAAGATTTTTTGGTGTAAAAAGAGTTCAGGCGCAAAGCAGCTGCCCCTGTGTGTTAAGATTTTTATTGATTTGGTGATTTGATGGGAAGTGTTGGTTCAGGGTATTTTTAAGTCCCTTTCAGGTTACACACAGACTATGAAATAGTTCTGTTTGTAGCAAAAAGTATTGGCAACATGTGCATCCCAGGTCTTCTTCAGCAGATTGTTTCTGAAAGATGTTTATTCTTCTCAGAAAGGGGAAGAATGGAGCTACTGCCATCAGCATTAGATTAGTGAATAAATTTTAATGCTTAAATATCAGAATTCAAATACTCTGTAGAGAGGAGACGATTTTTTTTGTTTGTGTATCGTGAGGGTGAGAATGTTCTTACAGATATTCAGCACTAGTTGAAGGTATTCAGCAAATCAGTTCAATTTTCTCATTTGCCTGTTTTTTGCCAGTATACATATGGCCTTTTTTGGTGTTAACTGAGTTTGCACGGCACTCAATACCTTCCTCACACCTTTGCTCACTGTGAATGTAGTCCTTCTGTTAGGGGCTGGATGTTCTCAGCTCATATTGAGATGGAAGTTGAGATTCAGTTCTTTGTTTGAAGTACTTACCAGCTTTGGGTTTCTTGGGAAAATACTTTCCCATGGCCATAATCTTAATTATTAGTGCTTGTCATACATGTACAAGGTTTCTGTGCATGTGACACAGCAACACTTTGGCAAAGAAATATTTTTGTGTTGCAATTCTTTATGTTACTTTTAAGTCTTTTTAAATAGCATTTTTGGAGTTCTGTTTTGAAAACAGGGATTCATAATCAGCTGTATTTATTGTAACATGCCTCTTCCACAGCCTTTACCCTTGGTCAGACTGAAGGAAGTAGCAAACTTGGTCTGCCTGACAGAGGCACATTAGGAGAGAAAAGCAGCATGAAACATTTCTTAACTTGGTCCTGTGGTCATAGTGGTCATTCACGAATATGGATCACAAATTCATGTCTGTGGTTCGTCCTTTTTTTTAAGTAGAATTCCAGTATTCAAAAGTTAACAGTTACAGGTTGACATGAAAAGCATGAAATGACAAAGTTATGTTGTTTGGTTTCAGGCACTTTATTTCCTCATTAAACTGATTAACTCTTACTTTTTAATGGTTAGAAAGGAGGATTTAGGAGCAGGGTGCTTGGATTCTCTTCATATGACTACTGGGAATTACATGATCCCAAGCAAAGTGGAGAAAATTCTGTTGTCCTCATCAGAGCTTTTATTCCAATCTACAGTTCTGGAATTTCTTTTAGCCAAAACATGTTTTGTCCATGGGTATATAAAATCTTTTTTTTTCCTCTTTTTCTAATGCTAACACTAACTCTTACTGCCCACTGAACAAAAGCAGATTAATTAACCCAATTACTTTTTGTATTTGTTTTTAATAGTAGGTGAAGTAGCCTCAGAGAAACATAATTCAATGAGGAGCTTACATTCTTTGTGTTTTCTGATATTTATGAGAAGACTTTCTTCTGTTGGTAGCCTGGTCCTGCGGAGGAATTTGTGATGATTCATTTTCTTGTTGATAATAATCTAACAGAGGCTGTTTCATGAAGAAAATGTGGAAAAATGTGTTTGTTTCATAAAATCATTAAGGTTGGAAAAGACCTCTAAGATGGAGTCCAGCTGTTTCCTTTCACCCCTGCTCATCACACCAAAAGAAACCACTGCACAAGCAGTTTCTGGTTGAAACTGCTGGAATTTTCTTGAATTTTTCATTATATTCAAATATCCCTTTCAGGTATTGCAGAGAAATGTCAGTGTTAGAATTACATAGGTTCAGTAGCAATGAATAATTTACAACTATATTAGGGAGTTAAATGGGGACATTATGAGACTCTTTATATATAAAGCAGCAATATTTTCCAAAATCATAGAAGTCTACAGAGAAAAAGGTAGTTGAGAAGAGGCTTAGATCAAGGAATTTATCTAATGAAATTGAAGAAATCATTAGCAGGCACTGAAAAGCTGGGGGCTCTCTAGGCAGAGAAGCTGGAAACTGGGGCAGAAGCATTGCTAATGTGACTCCACAGAAATGTGACTGGATAACTGTGTTTGAATTCAGTTTGCTTTGTGGTTGTTCCTCATTCTGGGGGTTGTAAATATGAATTTCAGATTTAGGGATTAGCATCAAGTCATTACCAGTTGTCAGTGTTCACATTTCTGCCTCAGGATGCCTGAGGAAGCTAAAGTGGTTCCTGCACACCTTATTTCCTTCTGGTTTTGTGTTCCTATCGCAGTAGAACACCTACACCACATTATGGATATAGATGGAATAACTTACTCTGGAGATTGAGTCAACTGATTTAGATTCAGGGGACAAAAATAAAAGAAAAATTCACTGGGTTTATTTATAATTTTCTTCCATCAGTTTGTGCTTTTCTTATTCATTACCTCTAGCATATTTGCATAATGTCTTAATTTACCAACTTTGTTTTCTCCACCCTGCATTTTCTACCACTTCATCTAATATAAGAAATTTTATTGGCATAAACTAAGAGTTTTTATCTTTATGCTGCTAATTAATTATATATAAGACAAGGGGTTTTTTGTTTGTTTTGGTTTGGTTTGGTTATTTTTGTTTGGTTGGGTTTTTTTTGTTTGGTTAGTTTTTGGTTTGGTTTTATTGTTTTTTGGAGGGTTGAGAGTTTTGGGTTTTTTTTGGGGGGGTTGTGTTTTTTTTAAGAATTTCAATAAGGAATTCCTCATTTGCTTTAAGGAAGAAATATCTTCAAGGAACAATTCAGCTGATTATGATTATTCATTCTTATTTCAGATAATTGTATAGAGTCATAGAATCAGCCAGGTTGGAAAAGACCTCTGAGATGATCAAGTCCAACCCTTGATCCAACCCTGCCGTGGTTACCAGACCATGGCACTCAGTGCCACATCCAGTCTTATCTTAAAAGCCTCCAGGGATGGTGAATCTACCACTTCCCTGGGCAGCCCATTCCAATGCCTGGTCACTCTCTCTGTAAAGAAATTCTTCCTAATATCCAACCTAAACCTCCCCTGGCACAGCTTAAATCCATGCCCTCTTGTCCTACTGCTGATTGCCTTGGAGAAGAGACCAACATACACCTGGCTACAACCTCCTCTCAGGTAGTTGTAGAGAGTGATGAGGTCACCCCTGAGCCTCCTCTTCTCCAGACTGAACAATCCCAGTTCCCTCAGCCTCTCCTCATAGGACTTGTGCTCAAGTCCCTTCACCAGCCTCATTGCTCTTCTCTGGACCTGCTCCAGCACCTCAGTATCCTTCCTGAACTGAGGGACTGTGAAATAATTTAGAAACACAAATGTTTCTGAGAATTCATTTTTAAAATTTTGACTTTTTCTTTTTTTTTGGTGTAAGTATCACACTTATTCTAATAAATAGAGGGAGAAGAGTTCCCCTTTAGGGATTGTGCAGCACATCTGGTTTTGATAATGTCTGTCTTTCTACAGTAGCATTCGTTTCCTCCCCGTTTGTTCTTGTAGTGTCAGTGATTGTATCACCTGCATTGCTTTTGTACATAGTTACCTTCTTTTTGATGTTTGCTCTTTAGGTAATGATTCTGACGTTGACCTTGACAGGAAGGAAGATGAGCGAGAAAAAACTCCAAAGAGGCCCAGAGTTCAGAAAACAGAGAAAATCCCATCGACTAAGGAGACTGAACAGGTTCCAGGAGCTAAAAATCCTATTATAAGTGTGGTTTTGACAGCCCATGAAGCTATTCCAGGTAATCAGAATCACCAATTATATAGTAATTTTTTTTTTTAACCATGCTGACACTGTATAACACAGTCACTGGTCTGAGACCAAACTGTTTGGGATATTTATTATATGCAAAATATGGACTATTATTTGATTATCATGATACAGAGTCTCTGTACATAATTTTAGAACTTAAGTCACATTTCTTCTCCGGTGTGACCTTCTGGACCTGGTGGTAGTTATCTGCATTAACATCTGTCATGTTTAGTATGTGAATAGTTTTAAAGAAGAAAATGATAAAACATTGACCAAAGAACAGAAAAGTATTTTTTGCCTGTAGAACCTCTGTTATGGCTTTTGATTTGTGTATATATTTATGAAAAATGTAAAATTGTTTATGAAAACATAAATATATATATAATATACATACAAATAATTTATCAGAAAATGTGTAAATATATTTGAAAATCAAGTTCTATGTTATGATAAAGGTTTCAAACTATTTATTTTTAAACTAGGCTTGCATTTACCTGTTTATATAAACCATGAACACACCTGACTGTCAGAATCCCTTTTTAATAGTTTTGTGCATTATTTTCAGCTTTGTAGCTTTGTTGTTCTCCTTTTTGTTATTGCTGATGTTTCTGAGGATTTGTTTTGCTTATAACTGTCAGAACAACTTGAATGTCTTTATTTATTTTCTTCTTGTGGTTTGGAAGCTGGCTGGATTTTCTGTGTTGTTGTTTAATGTCTTTTGATGTTGAGATCTGTGATACACTTGGACTTTGTTTGCTAAATTGTGTTTCTAGTTGCAATAGTAGAGGAAGCTGGATGAACTCGCCTACAAATATCCTGTGTGCTTAGAAGGAAAGTAGAAAAACACCTTCACATTCATTGTCTGGGATTTACAGTTTTAGAGTTTTGGATTTACACTGAGCTGTTAAAAATCTGGCCTTGCAATACCGTAAATAGGGAGGAAGGTGGGAGAGGACTGGTGAGCACTGGAAGTGTGGAAGCCTGGTTTTGGGGTGGTTTGAGGTCTACACTGCTTCATTTCACTGACCACAGCTCCCTTTCTCCTGGGTGATGTAACCCTGGGCTCTTTCTTAGCTGTTGTGAAACACTACTTTTCCCACTGTGCTCCCATGTTTTGCCCTCTCCCACTGCATGTGGCTTTTCCCCCATCCTGGTGCTCATTCTCCTCCCCGCCACACATGACACACCCCTCGTGTCCTCTACTCCTTCAGCTGGGAAAAGGGGCTCATGGCTGGTTAAGGGGCTTATGTAGGTGTTAGTAAAGGAGTTCCTGTAGGTGTTAATTTATGGATATGAACAAACCTCTTCCTTTCCTCAGACCTTTTAGAAAGAGCTGTAACTGGGGGTTCCCCTCTTCTGGTGCTACATTTTATGAATTTTGTAAGGATTTTTCTCTTAGACCTTTAAATTTCTGATGAGGACTAGAAGAATTTAAAAGAGGGCAAGGGAAGACATGGTAGACAGTGCAATCAAAGACCCATTTTCATACAAAACTAGCCTAAAAAGGTGAATGAAATAATAGTAAATACAGATAATGAAGCAAATGTAGGAAGCATGTGATGCAGGAGAGGAAATGAAAATCTAGAGCTCGTTGGTGCCTTAATTACTACCAAGTACAATTTTTTCATTGGATAACAAAAACTTAGGGTTTTCTTTGCACATATGCTTTTTGAGGGACTCAAAATGTTAAACTTCAGCTTTGGAGTTCCTTATGCAGAGCACATGATACATTCAGAAGGCTTTAATGAACCAAAAGGATTTATGATCAAGTGTGAACCTGCAGCTGTTTCTGAAGGTCCTCTCATTTATTTAATTGACAATTAGTAATCTTATTACATTCAAGTTCCCAGCTAAAATACGTGTAATAAAAAAGTCATTGCTGTTAAGACAGATATGAATTGTCACCCAACTTTTCAGAGTTTAGAAATTGTAGAAGATATAATGTAAGTGGTTAACTCTTTGAAGATTAAAAAGAAAAATAATTCACTTAGTGCAATTATGTTTTAATTTATTTTTCATTGATTTTCCTTTTTTTCCACATTAATTTCCATTATCTAACTATATTTTAGTGTCACTAGTAATTCTTAGGCTGTTCTCCCTTCTCAGTAATACTTTAATGACTAGAGTTTTTAATAAAGATCTTTCATAGTCTGTTATTCCATTTTTATGGAGATATATCATGTACTGAAGAGGTGAATTACTGCTATAGGCTGCTCTTGAAGGATATAAATGGATAAACCACTTTTCCTTTCTCCCATGCTTTCTGTGTGCTAGACCATCTGTAAAGTTAAACTGAAAATAAGGTTTAAAGGTGCTTAAGCGCTATCTAAACTTAACCATCTGTAGCCACCTGTTGCCTGGCTTTAAAGATGCTTGGAAATATCCCTTTCTGTGTCCAGTGCAGTAAAATATTGGTGAAGATTTCAGATGGCAATTAGAAAAATAGAGAAGGCCTTAAGAATTAGTTGTATTTTATTCACAGTGTAAAGGAACTACTCATACTATATTTCTCCCTTCTAAAAGATTCTTTTGGAAGTATTGCATTAACATTTTACCATAGTTTTGCTATGCACTATTTAGTTCTGGGACACTGCTTTAAGTCATGTGTTCAGTAGATTGCAACTAAATTGATCTCCTCAAAATCCCTTTGAACAAAGAGATGAGTGAGTTTTTCGCTTCCCAGAAAGGACAGTTGGACAACATTGATTTTCCCCGATGTTCCTCTTCTGTAATTTTTTCTTGGGAGGCATGTGAAAACTGATAGATTTACAGCTTTTGGAAGTCTGGAAGTCTTGCACTAATCCACGGAGTAAATACAGCTTGAGTAAGAGCTGTAGATTTTTTTCTGTGCAGGCACTGAAGTAATTTGACAGGAGGGTCTGTGCAGACCTCGTGCAGTGCAAGGCCAAGTGCAAGGCCCTGCACCTGGGCTGAGGCAATCCCAAATGTGGATACAGACCTGCAATGTGCGGATTAAGAGCAGTGCATCCTAGAAGGACTTGGGAGTGCTGGTGGAGCAGAGGCTGCACATGAGCTGGAAGTGTGTCCTTCAGCCCAGAAAGCCAAACATGTCCTGGGCTGCAACCAAAGCAGTTTGGGCAGCAGGTTGAAGGAGGCGATTCTGCCCCTCTGTTCTGCTCCTGTAAGACCTCACCTGCAGTGCTACATCCAGCTCTGGAGTCCCCAGCACAGGAAGGACATGGACCCATTGGAGCAAGTCCAGAGGAGGCCACAAAGATGATTGGAGGACTGGAGAACTTCTGCTGTGGAGGCAGACTGAGTGAGCTGTGGTTGTACAACCTGGCTACAGAGAGATCCAGAGAGATCTTCAAGCAGCTTTCTAGGGCCTAAAGAGGACCTACTAAAAAGCTGGAGAGGGGCTTTTTACAAGGGCAGGTAGTGGTAGGACCAGGGGGAATGGCTTCAAACTGAAAGAGGGTAGGTTTAGATTAGGTAGTAGGAAGAATTTCTTCCCTGTGAGGGTGGTGAGGCTCTGGCACAGGTTACCAGGGAAGTTGTGGCTGCCCCATCCCTGGAAGTGTTCAAGGCCAGGTTGGATGGGGCTTGGAGCAATGTGGTCTAGTGGAAGGTGTCCCTACCCGTGGAAGTGGGGTTGGAATTAGATGATCTTTATGGTCCTTTCCAACCCAAACCATTCTATGTGTCTGTAACTAGAGAGACCTGGGGACCCTGAAGAGAAGGACTGCAGTGGTCATGGGCACATGCACCTGATACCAAATGAAACATAGTACAGTTTTTCATAAGCATCACAATTAAGAATGAAAGTAAATAAATACAGTTCTATGCACCTCTGAAAATAGTTTTGAATGGCATATACTTTTTTTTTTTTGTGGTCTATTTTTAAGAACAAGTGAGTAAATTCAGCCAAATATTGTCTTTTGGCGTTTTTATGTATTCTATTTCCCATGTTTAAATTCTGTAAATTATCAAGGCTTCTAATCTGAATTTATTATTCATGCTTAATTAGTTTGATTCAGGAGAGATTTGAACATCTAAATTGTTGTTTTGTGTAAAACCTCTAATATTTTAAAGACTCAGCTTGTTACTAGCAGAGTTGTTTTCAATTCCTGTGAAGATGGTGTGTGGTAGAATGTTTTGGGCTTTTTGGTTTTTTATTTCCAAGAAATACAAATATAGAATGAAGTATTCAATTTCTTGATGATAATTATTTTTTTGTTTTTGAAAGGTGTTGGATTTTTTTCCCCTACAAATTCTTAATACAACACTTTTTTCTCTCCCTGATTTCCAAGGAGGAACCACTGTCCATAAAATCCAGCTGAGTTCTCCTGCTGCTGTACCCTTTACTGTAATTTATAAATGCTTTGTTTCTTCTCCCATAGAGATTTTTGGGCAGTGGGGAAGAAGTGGAAGAATGTAATTTCGCTTACCATTTTGGGAGTGGCTTAGTTTAATTGATGACAGTCTTGAACTGATAATAGTATTTTCTGTTTAAGACAGTTTGTTTTCTGTAGCTCATGGAATGATGGTTGTTGGTTTATGGCACATCTGAATGGATTTAATATCAGACAAAATGATCCTCTCAGGACAGAGGAGGATTGGGACTACCTCTCTTTAAAGTATCTGGGTCAATAAGTACAGACTGCTGTCACAGGCAAGTGCTTTCCTCTGAACCCAGCTTCCTGTCCTTTGGATCATTGTGCCTGTTGCTGCAGTTTTGTTGTAAAATACACCAGACAATTGATACTGTGTTTACAGAAAGAGAGAAAGGGTGTAGAGTTTAGCCAGATCCCCCCTCTTCATCTTCAGGAACTCCTGTGCTGGCTCTTTTAAAGCATCACCAACATGTAATGGAGTGGAGGGCTAGAGAACAGACACCAACCTTGTATTGATTTAAAGCCAATGTTGAATTAGGCAAGGGTTGGAAAATTAAACCTCTGAATGTAAGCAGGTGTTTATGTTATCATGAGCTTACAGGTTGATTTAGCTCAGCCAATCTGGTGTCCAGCTCTGTTGAAACAGGCAGGAATCTTCATCCCCCTATTCACAGGTGTGTGTTTCTATTGCTTTGTCTGAGTTAAAATGTGTTAACTTCATGGTGAGCTAACCTATACAAATATTGAAAGGTTCTTTTGCTTCTTTTGAGCTTTATTTTGAAGGATAGGAGTAGGTTTGCTCGGGGAACATTGGGGATTATGGGTAGGATTGGTTTCTGTTGATTTGACTTTCAGAACTGTCTTACCAGAGATCCTACACGTTTGGAGCACATTCCACAGGATACTGTAGAAGCTGAAAAAATGCATTTCTTCAAAAAGAGATTGTAAGAAACAAATTCTCACTTCATACATGTAGCACATTATTTTACCAGTACAGATCAGCATACCTACATTATGAAGAGTTTTTTTAAACTTAAATTTCAGTTGAGGTTCTTTAAAAAAAAAGTTTATCTAATCAGATCAGTTGTCTCTTAAGGCAGCTTGCAGCATCTGTGTAGGAAAGAAATAAGAAACTTACTGTGTAAACTATCTTGGATTCTAACATTTGTTGAGGTGGTGTTTGAATCTGGATGATCATATTTCATACATATCTATTAATTTGTCTCTAAATCCCTTCTTGAATACATTTATATTTTCAGTCTCTGTGACATTGTGGAGTAATTATCCCATAATTTAATTACACACAGAAAGTGCACATTCTTTTGTTTTGTTTTAAGCCTGCTGACTGCCTATTGAGCTGTTCTTTGTGGTTTACAAGATAATGATTATTCACACTTTTTCCACAGTATTGCTAATTTTAGAGGTCTTTATCATTTATCTCTCTTCCAAGCTGAAGGTCTCAAAGTTATGTATTCCTCTTCCAAACAAAGGGATTTTGATTTTGGTTATTGTTTACTGGTTCTTCTTTATCCTTTATTTGATTGTCTGTACTTGAAATGTTAGGAGGTTCATGGAATTTAGTTGAATGGGTAGGAATTTGTTTGATGATGTCTCCTGTTTTATTTCTGATCCATTCCTAATAATTCTTTTATCTTTTAGACTGATAAGTATTAGAGAGCTCTATAATGAAGGACAAGCTGCTTTTCTAAGAGACAGACTGTAAGAGACCAGAGACCATCCCTGAGTTTGAGGCAGAGATGAGTCTTGTTGGGGAGTGCTTATCTATACATAAACATTCCTGTCAGAATGTCAGGAGGAACTCAAATATTACTACTTTGAAAGCAGATTTACTCAGATGATATTGACTGAAAAGAGGAAAACAAAAAACATAAATAAAATCTAATAAAATAAAGTCCATTCTGCATATAAAATAGAGGTCTAATAGTGCTGGAGGAAGGATATTTTAAAAGAAATGATCAGTACAGTTAACCTCTTTTTTTTCCGCCAGTATTTATGTGCTCTGACTTCTTGAAATGATCATCTAGGGAAACAGTTAGGAAAAACTTTTATATTCTTTACTGGCATATGATGTTCTTAATGAAAAATAAGACCTTGTATCTGTTTGCCTTGTTCTTATACTTTTCTCTAGCTTGAATATTGAGGGCAGTTCTTTTGTGGTTTGGGATGTGTGGGGACTAGGTTGGGTAGAGCCTAGAAACCAATTTCCACATTTTCTGGGCACATACTGTAGTCATTAGTTTGTGATCTAGCAGTGACTGCAGTGGCTGCTGGTCCATTAGCAGCCTGAAGGCAGCATCCCAAGTGGATGGAGAGAGACATGTAATGTTTCTTAATGCTTCCCTGTCTTCTAAGGGTAGGAAGTAGCTACCTACCATGAGGGGACAGGATTGCCTCCTGCAAGTGCTTCATTAGTATGTTCCAAGGCCTGGATCTCCCTCTTTAGGTTTTTAAAGGCATTTGTCTCTCTATGAACTGCATAGGGAGTTTAGAGGCAGTAATAATAGGATAACCTTGGAGCATTCTGCCCACTCAAAGTATGCAAAATACTGATGAGTTAGTATTTATCTAGTGAGTTAGTATATATTTAGTTCACCCAATTTAGGTGATTAAATTTTTATAGTGATAGTACAAAAGTCTATTAAACAGTTCAGCAGTCCTTTCAGGAAATGCTCAAACATCCTGAAAGGCAGAAGGGCACAGAGGAGAGTTAGTGTGGAGCATTTAATGAGGATCTTTGTCTCACATTCAGGAAGTGGGAGGCCTGGAAGAGTTAGCCATGCATATAAAGCAGTTCAAGATCTATTTTCTTTTCACTGAGTCATTCTAAATATAGACGAATTTGCTTCTATTTAAAGTATTGAAGTATGGGAACACCAGTCTGGTATCTAATGTCTGTTGTATCACCTTTACACTGAACTATGGTCCTGTGCTATAATGACAAGCTCCCATCTTACTGGGCTACCACAGTACAGTCTGGGAGATGCAATTCTGCTGGACAACCTGATGTTTGTGGGAGAGGGAGGAATAAGAAGAATATATATATATATACAAAATATATATAATACATAATTATAATATATATTACATATTATATATAATATATATAAAGTTCTGATAACATTTAGATTGAGAACTTGGAAGATCAGTTCTGATGAACGTGCACAATCTTTTGTATGTCCCATTTGATAAAAAAAAGCTTCAATAACCTTACACACTCCCAAATGGTCTCTTCTCGAAATATCTCCATTTCCCACTTTAAATCATTCTGAAGAACCCACGGAATCTCCATCTTTCTCCCTTTTCTAGTCTACAGCACCACTTTCCTCCACTTAATGTCCCTCAGTCTTTCACAGCTCTTGTTGGGTAACTCCCACTGTTGTTTCAGAGACTTTATGTTAATACTGCCTATATATTGTATAAAGAATATCTTCAGGAATCTGATCTTAATGCATTGAGTAGATCCCCTTTACTCCTCCTCCTAATGGAGTTTGAGAAGTGCACATGGAGCATAGAATATCCTGAGTTGGAAACCACAAGGATCATCGAGTACAACTCCTGGTACTGCATGAGGCAGCCCCAGGAATCCCACCATGTGCCTGAAAGCATTGTCCAAACATTCCTTGAGGTCTGACAGGCCTGGGACTGTGACCACTTCCCCAGAGAGCCTGTTCCCAACATACTCTTTTATTCTGAGGGGATGCCGACATGCCCCAAAATATAAGGAGTGTAAGGAAAAGATATGAAGACTTTTAAATATAGACTAAACTGTGGTTTACCCAGCCGTATTTGTGGAGCTGATTAAGCAATTTGGCAAAAGTTTTCGAAGGATGTGGCATGAGGCAGAAACAGAAAAATTTAAATTTCATTTTGGAAAGTTACAGTCTTTTAAAGGTGGAAATATTTGAGTGTAGGATCTCATAATAACAGGCATCGAGCACCACGAGTAACCCTCAAAACCATCAGTCCTGGCACATTATTTAAGCAGATCTGTAATGTAAGTACTGACGTCTTCTCGAAGTGTATCCATCATTTTATGCACAGGAATTTAACAACAGAAACTTAAACCAGTTGGACTAATGATTAGAGAGTTTAATGTTTTGTTAACACTTGTGTATTATTGACAATGCACATTTTAGTATGACGGTTTTAATGAGCATTTCTTTGTTTTCCTTATAGGAGCCACAAAAATTGTTCCTGTTGAGGCTGCTCCCCAGGAAAGTGAACCCACAACTCCAGAGACGACAGTTCAAGAGCCATCACAACGAAAAGGATACCAAGAATATGCCATTCAGCAAACCCCATATGAACAGGCAATGAAATCAAGCAGGTAATTATGAAGTTCTTTTATTTGTGTTCATGCAGAATATGAATTAAATGCTTCCCCATCCATTTTCATGAAACTAAAATATTTTTCTGAGTCCTTTAAAAAAATGAACAGCTGAAAATAATCTGTGTGTAAATTATATAATTTAAAATGCTTGTGGAGAACACATTTTAAAAACCCCTAAACATTTCTGTCCATTATGAATATTTAGGGGATTTTGACACATTATGTCACCAAGTTTCAATACTGTAAATATAACTGGCTTGTTTTTTTCTTTTTAGGTTGGGCCCAACTCAACTGAAGATTTTTACATGTGAATACTGTAACAAGGTGTTCAAATTTAAACACTCCCTCCAAGCGCATTTGAGGATTCATACAAATGAGAAGCCTTACAAGTGTCCTTCCTGCAGTTATGCCAGTGCAATCAAAGCCAACCTGAATGTTCACATGAGGAAACACACTGGAGAGAAGTTCAGCTGTGATTATTGTACGTTCACTTGCCTCAGCAAAGGCCACCTGAAGGTCCACATCGAAAGGGTTCATAAGAAAATCAAGCAGCATTGTCGCTTCTGCAAGAAGAAATACTCAGATGTGAAAAACTTGATCAAGCACATCAAGGAAACTCATGACCTTCAAGACAAAAAGGTGAAAGATGTTTTTGATGAGCTTCGCTTGATGACACGAGAGGGCAAAAGACAACTTCTCTATGACTGCCACATTTGTGAGCGCAAGTTCAAAAATGAGCTTGATCGAGACCGTCACATGCTTGTTCATGGGGATGAAAGGCCCTTTGCTTGTGAGCTCTGTGGTCATGGAGCCACTAAATACCAAGCCCTCGAGCTGCACGTTCGGAAGCACCCCTTTGTGTACGTGTGCTCTGTGTGCCTGAAGAAGTTTGTCAGTTCTGTGAGACTCCGTGCTCACATCAAAGACGTTCACGCAGATCTGCAGGAGGATTCTGTTTTTAACAGCTCTATCAACCAAAGCTTCTGCCTGCTCGAGCCAGGAGGGGACATCCAGCCAGAAGCCCTTGGTGAACAGCAAACACAGACTGCAGGTGAATCGACTGTCACAGGTACTGATGCTGTTAACACACCACAGCCACCTGCTGGTGAGGGTGAATCAACAGCTGCAGATGTCAACCGTAATGGCCAACATAACGGGGATGTAAAAATCGATACAGTCCTTTCCTTAGAATTTGAAAACCCTCTGGTGAAGAATGTGGCAGAGACACTGTGTCAGACAACAGAGATAGCAGTCCCAAACATTCAACCCTGTGTAGCATCAGATTGCTTTCTGCTGAAAAATGGTACTGCTGGTCCTGAGGAGTTAAAGGTTTCTCCTCCAAATGAAGAGGAAGTTAATCACTGCAGTTCTGTAAATCAACAGGGTGAAGAAATTCACCTTTTACTGTCTGAAGACAAAAGTTTAAATCTGAGTCAGAACAATGTAGTGGCTGAGAACATTCCAGTCTCTGAAGAGAGAACCCAGTCTGTTCCTTCTAGTGAATCAGAAACAAGCAACCCTCCAGTTCAGAACTCGGCAGAATCCACAGACCCTTTGGCAGCACCAGAAGCCGGAACAGGCACCAGCCCACAGGCAGCCTCTTCCAACACGGCTGCACCCAACGGCGGGACTGGATCTGTTGCCTTCATGCAGATCTTGGATAGCTTGCAGAAGAGACAGATGAACACAGAGTTGTGTGAGAGGATAAGGAAGGTTTATGGAGACTTAGAATGTGAATATTGCGGTAAGGAGCAGTGGAATTATGTTTGCTTGGGGTTTTTTTATATGTTATGTAGTGAGCCATCTTTTTACTTCTCCTCTGGTTTACGGTGATATATTTGTGTATCTTTTCAGCAGTATTAATTTTGTAGTTCAATATGGTTCTAGGGTCCAGTGAGATTCACTTTTTGCTGTATAAATAGCATGAAATGAGTCAAATCTCCTCAAGAAAACCCACTAGTGGAATATAGCAAAGCAGTGATTTTCAATTTTCTGTTTGTGTTAAATTTGGTAGCATTAGATGATTTCTGTCCAAATGCCTCTCCCCAGGTCATAAATTTCACTGGGTCTAAGCACAGCAGATTTAAGCATGGGATCAGCTTTAGTCAGTCCATGTTTTAATGCTTAAGTTTCATTATCAGCCTAGTGTAAGGTTCAGAGTGTTTTTTGTATGGTAAAGGAGGATCTGTGGTAATATACATTCTGTAGAATAGGCACATATATACTGGCATATTTTTGTGACTTGTTTTGAACCAGGTTCTTTGAGGTGAAAATTTTCAATTATGATTATCAGATCAAGATTATTCTGATTGTAATTTTTTTTTTAATTAATGGAAGTGGGAATAATACACCATTCAGATTTATTCTAACTGAAAATGTTTGTGTTTACATAACAATTTGGGATTTATGCTGTAGACTTCATTCTTGAAAAGGGAAAAGAATCATAGTCTGAAAAAACAAGCTTTTGAAACAATGTAACACTGTACCTCAGATGAATTGCTCTGCAGTTTTTGGTGCCATTGTGTCAGAAAGGCTTTTAGGAAGGAGTAACATGAAAGGAAGTAACAAAAAATATATTGACAGTCTTTTTTAGTGTACAGTTGCATTCAGATTCTTTGTATAGGAGAAGAGGTGTAAAGAACTTTTCCTTTAGGGAAAAGATCATTGATATGTATCAAAGTTGCCCTTGTTAGGCTGTTTCAGGATATATAACACAATCTTTTTAGACAAAAGTGGGTTTTGTAAACATATTTTCAGTAGTGAAGGGTCTTTAGACAAGTTTTCATTAAAGACAAAAGGGACAGGATTCAAACAGTGTGTTTGACCCTGAAAGAAAATTGTGTGCTTATTGTAATTTTCACTAACAGTTGTTTAGAAATTACTTTCTTCATGTCTAATTTTATTTTCAGGCAAGTTGTTTTGGTACCAGGTACATTATGACATGCATGTTCGTACGCATACCCGAGAACATTTATATTACTGCTCCCAGTGCAATTACTCCTCCATCACCAAAAACTGCCTGAAGCGTCACGTCATCCAGAAACACAGCAATATTCTGCTGAAATGTCCCACAGAACATTGTGACTACTCTACCCCAGATAAATACAAGCTCCAGGCACACCTTAAAGTTCACACAGATCTGGTAAGTAACGAACCAGGCAGTTGGTTTGTCCAAATTCGATGTCATCATCATAGTGTTTGGAATCATCTGGTAATATTTGAAGACATAGCTAAGGGCTCTTACCTGTGTGCTCTCTGTATATTTCTGGGAATACAGGAGTTACAGCAAATAGATACTTGGTCCTTCTCATAGTTGTTTCCAGTAGAGTGTATCTGTATCTCCCTTTTTTCCCTTTGCTTTTCCCACTGTTGTCAGATTCTTTGGGTTGTGAGAGAGTAAAATAAGGCCTGGTACTGTTGTTACTTTACTTCCTTCTGTGGAGCTGATTTCCCTTCCTCCATAAATAGAAGACTGTGGTACAATGAAAATATGTTCCTCTCTTAATTACTATAGACAGAAAAAGTTGTTGAAAAGAATTTTTTTTTCCTAATAACTACAACTAGTTGGAGTTGAACATCTACAATTTTCTGTTGTATTTACAAAGACAAAGAAATCACATTTTAAAGGCTCCTTTCTTGTTTAGAAATCCTTCTAGCTCTAAATGCCATGTACTAAAAACAGGTCTGGTCTACTTCTTCCACATTCTCTGTTAAGTGTTTTCTTTGAGACTGTCCAAGGGGCTGCATGCTTGACTGGAAGCCCTTGTTGTGCAAGACACTGCTTGGTGATCTTACTCTGATCCAACATTATTACATGAATGATCTTCAAGGTTTGTTTCAAAAGTATGTTTTGAAAAATATTATGGCATTCAGAATAAGAAATATTTTAAAACAAAGGACTAAGATTTTTAGTCTTCACCATTGGTTAAGATGCTTTTTTAGAAGTGAAATTATATACGTGCTTTTCTTGGAAGATTAAGGAAAACAATTATTTTCTTACATCAGTATTGCCAAGCTTCTTCTTGCTGTTTTATTGTTTTGCATGAGTGTCCCAAATAGGTTAAGCTTTTGTCAGAACAGGTCTGCACACCACGGACTTCTTTTCCTACCACATGGCAGGATCCTATGTGCTTGCAAGGTCTAGCTGATCTGTGGCATTCCAGGCTTGTGAGTACCCAGAGAGGTTGTGATGTGCACACACTCACACAGTTATGAACGCAGGCAAATTCCTTCCTGTTCCAAATTGACCTTTAGGAAAGGGTATTTGGCAAGTGCCTACTCTCCTAGTCCACTTTTGACTGGAGTCTTTCCTGAAGACCATAAGAGTGCATAGATGGCCCATATTACCTCATATGTTGTATATGAAGGTACTGCTATTGAATAAAGCACTGTTTAGGATTTCAAAAAATGTTTGACAATGGTACTATTTGTAATTAAATTTTCTTGACTAATAATGTTAGAAAGTTGTCATGAACTGCATCCTTGCAATTTGAGGCTTGAATTATTGATGCAGTAAAATACTTCCAAAAGGCAATTTACCCTTCTCTTGAATTTATTTCTTTAGTTATTCCAGCAGAAGAGAAAATGGCAGTTGTTTAATTGCAGCACTCGCTCTTCTGTCCTTTAAGGACGAAGCTATTCACACAGATGGGCCTTTCTTCATTCTTTACACAACATTACAGCTTTTGTTGGCATTTTCTTGTAAATAAATCTTGTGCATCCATGATAGAATGCACCACATATGACAAGTTCTTAAAGGCCAGTCACTTAAGAGTTGGACTTGATGATCCTTGTGGGTGCCTTCCAACTCAGAATATTCTGTGATTGTGTGGTATTATTCTGTGAGAAAGCAGCATCACAGCTCTAAGCAGTGTGATAAATATTGCTCTTACAGTTCCTTCTACAAGAATGTGATGCTTGAATTAAGGATTCACACTAGTTTTTCCCCAGGTGTGAACAGTTTCTGAGTAGCTTCTTAAAAAAGGTGTTTGCATACAGTGCCCAATGGTTTAGGTCTTCCTCTGCAGTCAGCAGATAGGCTCTTGGCCACTGTTTTCAACAGCTGAAGTTACTTTAAAGGTATTTGGAACAGAACAGAACACTTAATCTTCTACTCTTCTTAAGCAGTTACTTCAGGAGAGCTTTAAAAAAGAAAACAGAACAGTTCACACAAAAAGGAACATTTTTTCCCTTCTTGTGTCCTCCACTTCTCTAGCTATTTTAAACAGAATCTGAATTTGTTATGAAATCTGCAGAAAATTCACGTGATAGACATTCTTTTTGGCTGTTTTTGAATGTCTTATGTTTATGATGCCCATCTGACGGCAGAAATCTGTGTAAATGGTTTCTTAAGAAAAAAGAGCCTACAATTAGCTCTTCTTATGTAAGTACCTGTTTTTCAAGTGTGATGAATGTCCAACAGCTCCCACCAGGAGGATCATTTTCATGATACTAAATAGGACTGAGTAAACGCATTTCATAATTAAAACCAGTGTGGCAGCAAGATCTATCAGAACCATGCTTACTGATGCTTACTGTCAAATGTATTTATTTAAATAGATTGAAGAATTCATATATTAAAATTTACTCAGTAACTAAATTTGGCCCTTCTCAATACTGGCCTTTGTGCCCACTGCTTGGTATATTTATTTCATGTATATCTCACTGAACAGGACTACTTACTCCAAATTATAGTACAAGCTGTGCAGGGTTAAATGTGGAACTCTAATCTTAATTTTAGTTTGCAAATGCAATTCTTAATAAATACTAAAGTTAAAACTTCCCTGGAGACCTAATTTACCAAAATCTCAGTTCAGTTCCTTGTATGGATGTGTAGCCTTTGTTGTCTTGTTGCTGACTGCATTTTAGCTGGATCCCTGCATTAATTGGTGAAGAGGATAAATGGTGGGTATGGAAAAGCAGCTATCCCTTCATCCTTGCCACTCAGTGTATAGCCACCCATCTTACTCTCTGAGCATCATCCAAGTCTTGCACTGAATTTGGGGTTTATTCCCTGGCAGATGATGATGAGTGTGTATGTGCTGCCTCTTGCCTCTGTACTTGGAATAATTTACAGTTATGGATAAGCTCGTTGGAACCATTAGGGGCTGGATGTGGAACTAAACAATGCTGATGGAGGTACCAGAGTTGGTTTAGAATACTCACTATGCTGAGAAGATAAACATCAGAGAGGTTTGTGTCTGAAGATATTTTAAATCTCTATATGTAATTGATATTGCAGGATAAGCACCTCTGTAAAACTCTGGTTCAGACCCAGAACCAGCACTTGTTATTTGGTGCCTGCATTTGCTTTCACGCACGTTTCAGGATGCCAATGACTCTTGTCTTTGGAAGGATGCTTATAAATTCCACTGTGCTGCTGACCTTTCGTGTGTGTAGGAAGTGAGGCACTTGAGCTCTGATTGCTTATTTCCCCTTCCTGAGGAGCATTAATTTTCAGACTGTCACTGGTCTGGCTTGGTTACCTTTGACTCTGGCGCAGTGCCACTGTGTAGTCAAGAATGCGAGGTACTGGAAAGGAAAGGAAATAACAAAGACATCTATGATCTAAGGACCAGGCTCATGAAAATACGCTCAAGTACTGCATGCAGGTGCTTGTCATTTTGTGAGCTGTGACTTCTGCTGCTTGTCAGGCTTCATAAAAGTCTGCCTAACCATTTGCACATTTTTCTGTATCTTCCTTCACCTGTGTGCGTAGCCACCTCCTGGGTACGTCAGATCCTTTTAGCTAAGTTGCATTTTAATTGGACATCAGCTTAATTCAGGAATCTTTTGTGAAGGTTTTGAATTGAACATCATGACAACTGTGGTGAAGGTTTCTGGATGTCTTCATTCCTCGGAAGTATAACTCAGGGGCCTAATTCTAATCCTCAGGTGTTAGGAATTAAATTTCTGTTTATCTGGGTAAATGTGGATGCAGGATTTGTCTCCCTATTCCTCTACAAATTATACAATCCAATGTGGTGTTAATTGAGTTGTGGGAACTTCTCCTGGAAATGCTTTGGGAGTACCAATATTTAGTAAAGCTTTGTATTATCTTCTGCTGATGAAATCATGTCACTGATGCTTCTGGAAAGGAAGGGAATGGATTGTTGATTTCTGTAACATAATTATCTAATTTGGGCTGCTAATTAGGGGCATGGTCTTAATTTTACACTATTAATGAAATTGATAACAAAACAGTCAGGAGTCCACACACTCTCTTTTGAAATTAGTGGCAGAATTGCCATAAAAATCATATAATTTATGATCATATTATTCTATGTATGTTCTGTTGGTTTTATCATACGGTCTTTTATGTTGGTAAAAACTTCTAAGATCATCGAGTCCAATTGTTAACCCAGTACCACCCTGTTCACCACTAAACCATGTCCCCAAGTGCCACATCCACAAGATTTTTGAACACTTCCAGGAATGTGACTCAGCCACATCCCTGCCAACCTGTTCCAATGCTTGACTGAAGAATGTTTTCCTCATATCCAATCTAAACCTCCCCTGGCACAACCTGAAGCCATTTCCTGTGGTCCTGTTGCTAGTTACCTGGGAGAAGAGACCAAACCCCACCTGGCTAGAACCTCCTTTCACTACCTAGGTAGTCCTAGGTAAGTGGCCTTATTTTATAACAAAGCAGCATAAAAAACCAAGATTTTTTGATATCATTAGACTAATTTTTATTGCTAGGTTTAAGTGTATTTATGGACCTAATTAAATACCTGATCTGTGGAATGTGAACAGTACTTTCTGTCAAAAACCTGCATTTATTTAGCTTCTGTCAAAACCCTGCTTTATTTAGGAATTATTTCAAGTTTCTTATATTTTCTCAAACTGGTTAATAGGATAGTAAGCAAATCCCAGAAAGTGTATGATTGACTTTGAAATTGAAATAGGGGGTTGGACTATGCATCTGGTCTCTTAACAAAGGCAGATCCAGCTCTTTCCAGCTCTTTGCTTCTGCTTGTGCCCTTCAAAAAATCCTTCAAAGGCATTAAAAGGCAGGCACTCCAATTAGGCATAGGACAGACAACTTTTATTCTTACAAAAGGAAAACCTGCATGCTGGGAATGTGATTAAGGTATTACTAGAACCTCAGCCTCAGTCCTCCAAAGTGCTTCTGTCATCACCTATGACCAAGGCACTCTGAAGAGCCACAGGTGTGGTGGGGGTGACCTTGAGGCTCTGTGTTGTGGCCTGGGTGCTCTGAAACACTTTATTTGCAACAGAGGGTTTCTTAAAGGCTGTTTTGGGAGTGATGGGGTTACACTGAAGGACCAGCAGTGACCTGAGCTCTCAGGGCAGCGACAGAAGTGCACTTAAACGTTGAAAATTAATAACATAAGCTCCAACAGTCAGTGGCACTGACCTGTATAAACAGCAGTGAAAAGTTTGGGTGCTCTCTGTGAGAGACTGGAGCTTGACAGATACACTTTGAAGGGTCTCGGTGCTCATAGGCACACTCTATTCCGCTGCAAAAGACACCCCTTTTGAAGTTCATTTCTGCAGAACTTGGTGTAGATAACTTTCTAACTGCTTGAAAGAAGCAATTTGGATTTTTTCATTGTTGAAAAATTTTGTTATTATCATCATGTGGAAAGATGTGTTCTCGGTGCCTGTCCTTTCATGTTTCACTTACTGATTATTTTGAATTTTCCTTAAATCATAGGCTTATAGCCTTGCCTTCCCTAAGAGTATTAGCAAGAATGTAAAGTTGTCACAATTACAGTATTTTAGTTAAAGTAGTGTGTGTGGGATGTGTGTGTGTGTGTGGAGTGGAGTGTTGAATTTTTTTTTGTTATTTAACTTTATGAAACAGCAAGATAAAATTTGTCTCAGTGTTCTGGTCACACTTAATACAGTGAGTATCAAAGACCAGCAACACTCAAATGTACATTAAAAACATACTAGTTTTTGTTTTTATTTATTATAAGTTTTGCAACTAGTTATATAGCAAGTTTGAGGAACAGACTGAGATCTGAGACCAAATTTCAGCTGCCCCCTAAAGAGCCCCCTAAATGATAACTATGCTTATGTTTTTCTTACATGTGCCAAATTATGAATATGATTATGCAACCCCATCTTTGAATAGGTACAAACATTGCTGTGGAGTTTTATTAGGATGAGTCTACCAGTCTTCATTGGAATGATGTGTTCAGTTGGAAGTCTGAAATCGTTGTTAGCAGGTTTTGGTTATATCATTTGAGAGACCCTAATTCTGCAAATTAACAGCTCTTCTTCAAGGTTTTGTCAGCACTGTAGGCTTCTTGAATTTCTTCTTCCAAAAACCAGCTAGTGCTCTTTGATACTCCTTTATTTTTAACCTGGGTTTCTCAGGGCTCCAAATGGTGACAGCCCCAACTCCATCATAGCAGGATACTGTCCTCAGGGTGGTAATCCTTTAGTAGCTGCTATCCCCTGTCCCCAGTGCAGGGTTTCTCTCTGGAGCAAATGATCTAACAGCTGAGGCAGAATTCTCCCTGTGACTACCACTGCCATATTAGTGGCAAGAGAGCTCCATATCCTACTGTCATGGAAGTATTTATTTCTATTTCAGCCCATGAGTTCTAGGGTTACTTCTGGGTTTGACTCGTAGGTACTTCAGGATAGGGATTTCTTTTTCAGAAGTACATAATATACTAAGTGCAAATGCGTGTGTATATTGCAAGATCTGTCTGCTGTGGAAACCCATCAATTTTGCTTTTCTTTTAAGAGACATGTCCATTTATAGCTGTGTAATGGAAGCATCCAGAAATAATGACCACCTTATACATTCTTCCTCACTGTTCAGAGATGCTCTTTGTCTAAGGTCAGAAACTTGTAGAGTCCAGGACCCTGTTACCTCCAAATTTCTCTCTTATAACACAGAGGTCTGTTTTTTTTGATCAGTAATCTTCCTTCCATGCTCTTCAAGAAGTACTTCTGTTCTCCTCAAATAAGTAGTCAAATATCTCTTCTGTAGCTTCAGCTTACCAGAGACCTCTGGGAGTTTGGTAGATACAACTCTCCCATCAGGTAATGTGTTACCTGGTTATCTACCCAGCTGTCAGGACTAAGTAGGCCTCCCTCCATCTGTGGCTTTGATGATCCACTCATACGTTAATCCCCTCAGTGCAGAGGTGACTGGATGATCCATTCATTTGATTGAGTATCCAGTCTGTTGTCTCAGATGGTACTTCTGGAAAAATCAGCCTCTTCCATTTTATAATAAGTGGCAAGGTTTATTTTAAATTGGATAATTTGCCAGTTAATGGAGAAAAGTTCTACATTTTTATGTGGATGCATTTGTAAAAACAGGAAAATTGCAATTAGGCTGAAATTGCATAGAGGAAGAAATTCAATCAAAACTCTCCAGTTAAACTTGATTGATGGTGTTAAATCTGTTATAACATCAGTGACACTGAGAAAATCCAGAGTAGTCTGTAAGTTTTTAAATCAAAATAGTAGAAAAAGACTTTATTGGTAATACATCAAATGCTGAATATTTATAAAGTAGTTAGAAACGTAGACACTGAATAAGTAATGGCATCTGTCATTGTTAACTTTGCTGCTCAATTTCAGGCCATTTTATAAATCCACATAGTAGTGGATGTCTTCAGAATAATAAGGTCTGATACTTAGGTTTCAGAAGAGTGGACTTGTGCAAAAAAAAAGAAAGAAAAAGCCCTGAATATTACTGCTCATATCAAATACGTTTTCTTCTGTTATGTGACTTGATCTTTTGACTTTTGATTCTCTACAGAGTCAGTCAGAGGATAATGCTTACATTTATTGTGCATATTCTCATCTGCTGTAACTTGGAGCCCTTCATTCATGAGGATTAATGATGCTTAGAGTACTTTAATATTTCTCCTTCACTTATTTCACTATAAATACCTTCATTTTTTCCTTAAAAACTGAACCTTCAATTATAACTTCGTTGAGAACCATGTATTCCTGAATAATGACTATAGTGATTATACCAGTGGACTGATAATGCAATCTCTTTCTTTCTCACTTAAGGATAAAAAGAGTTATTCCTGTCCTGTGTGTGAGAAGTCATTTTCTGAAGATCGACTTATAAAATCTCACATCAAGACAAATCACCCTGGTAAGAAAAAAATCAAGGGAAATTTCTCAGTCTATTGCAATAAATGGATAAAGATTTGGAGTGAGCAGTGTAATGTGATTATATTCCTAAGAAAGAGAAGAGTCTGTGTCTAATTTAACTGGTTTAGAGTAAAAATTGTGTTGGGTTTGCAGATACTACAGTTTAAAGTGAAACATGATACTGTTTGAGCTTGTGTGTTGTGGAGTATGTCAGGTAATTGCGTTAAGAAATCTGACTTCATCTGACAAAGAACTCATTTCCAAAAGAAGACCTAGGTGAATTCAGATTAAGCATTGGGAAGTTTGGAATCAGGCATATAGACATCCTGTAACAACCCAGAGGACATAAAATTCTTACATGAGCTGACAGGAATGCATTTAGTGCACAATATTTGTCTGTAGGTGACTGATGTGAATGCAGAGCTGACCCTGTGTGCTTGGGTCCTGTGGGGCTGGGCTGCACCTCCAAGCTCAGATAAGTCTCCATCAGGGCTCCTACTGGAACCAGCTGGGATGTAACGTGGCCAGTATTAAGCTGGATCCAGCCAACCACTGCAGCCCATCCAAACTCTGTTTATTCCTTGCATTCCGGTGCCCTGATTTATCAGTGCAAGCACAACATAACAGGAATGTGGTAAGTCAGTGTGCCGTGCCCGAGTAAACAATCCTTTCTCAGATCTTGAGAATCCAGTGCCAAAGTGCTAGTGCAGGGACTGATTTAAATCTGACTGATGTGAACTCAGCAGAGCCACATTGTTGTGTCCCTGATTTCCTCCTCAGTAACTGTGTTATGTTGGATAGGAAGACCCACTGCTACTGCAGAGGTGCTGGTGAGGTGACTGCATTGACCAACACAGTTTAGTTGAGTCACCTACAGTGTTACTTATCACCTTTAATATCATAATTTGATATTAAAAAAGAAAATACTGGCCATGCTCAAACTAAATTTGGGGAAGGAAAAGTCCTGTTAAAAGGATGTAACTTTTCTTGCCTTTACCAGAAGTACAATGTAACAGGTAAAGCAGTGGTTTCTTATCTTCCTACTGCCACTAGATAGTGCTAGACCCGTGTTTTAAACAATCTCCTTCACTTTAATTTCAGACTAACTCCCTCTTCAGCTCTTTAGTTACTAAACCTCTCTATTTGCAGACCACTCCACAGCAGTGTGGTTGGAGGGCATTGTCGGATATCAGCGGACGTGTCTGATGCAGCAAATTGAGATGAGGAAAGGCTTCTGAGCTATACTGTAGTCAGGAGGTATATCACCAGTAAGCACAGAAATAGAATCTCAAGAGCTGTACCTATTAAGCCTTTGTGCTGCCTCAGCCAGGGAGCATAGGAGACCTCCCTAAATAACAGGACATGTGAAGTAGCAGGACATTGTGTACTGTACCTTACAGGTTGCCGTTAGCCTGCACTGGTCCATTTTCTGCTGAATTCTGTGTATGCTGTGTCTGAGGTCCAGAAATACCAGTTAACTCTGGAGCCCTGAAATGCAAAACTCATGCATTTAAATACTTTGGAAGAATACATTTGGTATCTGATTCCCTTGAAAAGTGTAGTGTAAATTTTTTGATCCAAGTGGGTTCTTTTAAACTCTGTGTTATAACAGAGGTAAGGTTGAAAAAGAAAATCTGTACAGCCTATTATTTTGTGTCCTCATTTTTCATTCATGTATCACAGGCAAATAGAGCTTAAAGGCAAAATACTGGATTTATTAGATATATCTCCATGGTACTGAATAAATACTAAGTCTAAGATATGCCTATGCAGTAGTTATGCAACAACCCTGCATTAATATAGGGATGAGAATTAGTGCACAAATCTTTTTTTCTGTGCATTCTCTTCTTGTAATCAGGAGGAAATCCTTTATTTGTACAACATACTTAATTACAAGCCAAATAAATGTGAGGGGTCTGAGGGTATAATCTGTTAAATACTGCAGTGGAATTAGTGCAATTGTTTTCAAAAATGTAAATTAAAAAAGTATTAAAGTGAAAGGAAAAATGGGTGCTGTTAAAATGAATTTTAAATTTACATATCAAAAATTAATTTAAACTGAAACCCTTTTGTATTTATCATTAAAATGCTATGTCTAGAACTCCCTTTTCCTTCCTTTCTTACTATCACTCAACATGACCCATCCCTTGTCTCTTCTGTTCCATCAAGTAGAAAGTATGAAATCAAACAGCACTCCTTCCTCTTCTGCATTTGCAGAGGAGTTGAATTTTGGCCCCATGAAGGGAAAATCTCTGTAGACTTTGGCAGAGCAGTATTTCAAACCGGAGAGATAAGAGCTTGGCTTTATTGCCCAATGATTTGAGTACTCAGCACTGAAGGAGGAGAATTGGATTCTGGTCCCAGCTCTCAGAATTATCTACCTTTCATCCACTGTCTGATTTAATATGATATTTCTTAATAGTTCTGAGACATGAGAGGCACCAGCTTTCATAGATCCCCACTGAGCAGACATCCTAGCCTGCAGTCATGAATGAAGGATCTAAGCCATGGAAGGCAGATGAGGGTTCAGGCTTGTGTCTGTATTTTTCTTTTTTGGGTACTTTACAGCTTATCTCTGCTTAGTTCATGGACTTTTGTAGTTACCTTTTGAGGTTGTTTTCCTTGGGCATATGAGTTCAGGCAGGATTTTTTATTCCATTCTCGGGCCGACTCATCAGGAGACTAGGTATGAGAGTTCATTTTTGGTAAAAATCAAAGTTTAGACTGTAACTTTCAAATTTATAAGATCTGGGGCATAAGTCAGTCACCCGTTTTCATGTCTTAATGTTTAGATTGCATGAGTGCTGTACTTTCGTTAAGTCAGGAGATAGCATTTCATTCATCTGACTTCAATGTGCAATTTGATTTACTTTCTTAAAGCATTTGGCAATGTTTTCATTATGCATGTTTGGGACACTTCAATTTAAACTTCATTATTTTGAGCTTTTTCACTGTGTCAACCAAAACATTAGATCATATATGAAGGAAAAGCTTAGAGTTGTGTTTAGCCTGAATGAGCAAAGGACAGGAGAGGAAACTTAATTGCTGTGTTCAGCAATCTAATTAAAAAGAAGACAGAGCCAGAATCTTCTTGAAGCTGTACAGTGAAGGGATGTGAGTTGAAGAAAGGAGATTCTGATTAGAATTAGGAAAATAATTTTAACCGTAAAGGTGTTTAAACACTAGAATGGGCCAAGAGAGGCTGTAGAATCTGCACCCTTGGATGTGTTCAGAACAGGACTGGAGATGACCCCGAGCAACTTACTGTAACTTTGAAGTTGGAACTCTAAAGTTGACCCTACTTGGAGCAGGTGACCTTAGAGGTCCCTTCCAATCACATTTGTTCCATGAGTGGTTTTTCCTTTAAAGTGTCTGGTTATCAGGATTCTGAACATTATAGCTGTGGCTCAAGTAGATTGTCTTCAGATCCTTGACATCTGGAAATCTGGGGTGAAACCTTGAATAAAGCTTTTGAAATTATTGAAGAAAAAAGTGCCAAATTAGTTTATAGGGAAGGTTCATAGTCAGAAAATTATTTTGAAGCCAGTGGCACAACCACATTTTTTTTAATATGTAATATGTTATTTTTTTTTAAAAACAGGTAGTGAGGACAGTGAGTTCGCAGATCAGAAGAGAAAGGACAGAGCATCCTAGGAGGCCTAAAGGAAAGAAGGTCCTTATGCTCTTTGTTCAAGTCAGTTTTGAGTGGCAGTAGGGGAAATAGAGCTTTTAAAAAGTTGGAGTGATTCAGGATCTAGCTCTTCAATATTACTTAGAGAACAAATTCCCTCATGTACTTCTGGTTCTTACTACCTTTTGCATTTCTCTCAGAGGTTTCAATGAATACTATTTCTGAGATTCTTGGCAGAAGAGTTCAGCTGAAAGGACTTATTGGAAAACGAGCTGTGAAATGTCCCTACTGTGATTTTTATTTTATGAAGAATGGATCAGACCTTCAACGTCATATTTGGGCTCATGAAGGTAAAACTCTGGGTTTAAGCTTTTGGGCATATAATAAGTCTCATATTCCACTGAAGCTTTGCTGACATAAAAAAAGGATTCAGATTTATTTCTATACCTGACTCAAACACTTTAAGCCACATTAGAGGTTAATTAATTAGTTTAATGCCTTCTGGACTGCATATGAAACTGCATACTCATAACATGAATAGACAGCTTAAATGTTTTATGAAATTAATAATATTCTCTTCCATTTTTTTCCAAATAAACATCTCTAAAGTATTCTGTGTGAGTAAGGAGGAGTGAATTAAATACATACTTAGTCTCTTAAAACAAGTAATTTTCTCTGTCTTCTTATGAGTCACTGCTACTCCTTTCACAGTTGCCCAAAAATACATGGTCTGGAAATCTATGAATAAAACAATTGGAATCCAGTGGCTTTGATATATACATATAAATTCTGTGAGTATTTTTATTAAATCATGCAGATGTGACAGCTAACTGACACAGACAGACATTGATCAAAAACCCATATGATAATGCTGATCACATCTGTGACTTTTTAGGGAGAAATTCCAGTAATGTGGCAACACACTGGTTAAGAATCCCTTGAACTTAAAAATCTCTGCCCAGTAGAATTCTGTGAGTACCCAGTCTGTGTATTTTTATTATAGGCTGAGACCACTTATGTGGTCTTTAGTCACATTAATAATATATGGAGCAGAGTATGATTGCTTTTGGATTCTTTAGCCACCCCACTGGATGAAGGGAATAATGGGATTTGTTACTCTGAAACTGGTGTCTTGGTTCCAAGTGTTTGTTCCTATATAAATAGTTCAACATGTTTGTTTGAAGGATTTAACTGTGAGTTTACCTGCCTGTGTACCATAGCAGGGTCCTCTCCTTTATTCCATTAAGAATTTGGGTAGTGCAGAATGTAGGTTAGGGCAATTCCTTGTGTATTCCATAGACAGAGGTTTTGTATTCTGATGGAATGCTTGGAACCCATCTCATCTGACTATCGGGAGAAGGAAGTGAATAGAAATATACTCCTGAATCAAAGTGTGCAATCAAGCCTGCTTAAAGCAGACTATAATTCCTCATGCTTGTAAATCTAGTTTTAAGGTCACGAATATCAATCTAAAACTGTCAGAGCCTCATGAAACTGTTGAAGTACTCTGCTAGTTCAGATTTATTCAACTTTTTTTTGAAGGATTTACCTTGTTCTTATAGAACTTCTGTTAAACGACATTCTGGGTGTCTCTCTGTGTGCTTTGGACAGTTTGAGAGAACTGAAATTTTAAGTGCTTGCTTCTTGTTGAGGGATACCTGATAAGATACACTTAAATAAGGGATACCACTGCATGAGATATTAGCAAATCTGATATTAATCAACAGTAAAACACAGCTTCACACATTTGACTTCTGCTAACATGCTAAGTACCTAATGAAACAGTCCTCCTTGAAACAGCTTTCTTCATCCTTTACTGTAGTAAACAGAGAATGATGGTTATCTGAAGACTCATAGAGGGAGATAAATACACCAGCTAGACATCAGTTTAGGCAGTCTGGATTCTACTTCTAAATGAAGGATAGACACAGCAAGGACCAAATTGGCTTGGCTAAACCTTAGTACTGGGTTCAATAGGGCAATATTTCGTTCTAAAAGAACTCCTCCTTTCTCTTAGCAAGTTAAGTGATGCTACCAAGAGCTTGGTATCATTTTCACAGACGCTATAGATGAAATTTGTCAAATGTGGATATCCAAATTTTAAAATAGTGACCTCGTTGTCCATGTTGCTCACATGATCTGAAATTTCTTTCAAGGAAATGTCCACCCTCTTGTCAAAAGGTGCAGCCTGGTTGTTTCATGGTACATTCTTTCATGTTTAGGTGTCAAACCCTTCAAATGCTCCCTCTGTGAGTATGCCACGCGCAGCAAGAGTAACTTGAAAGCCCACATGAATCGTCACAGCACTGAGAAAACACACCTCTGTGATATGTGTGGGAAAAAGTTCAAATCCAAAGGCACTTTGAAGAGCCATAAACTCCTTCATACCGCTGATGGTAGGTGGATATGTTTATTAGATTTAAGTTTATTTTAGGACATTAAATACTGACTGTACTACAGGGCCTCATTAACAAATGTTTTTCAGTTGAACACCAAGTGTGATTTACAAGTTTTGTTTATTCCCAGGAGACACCATTTGGGAAACAAATCAAAACTTTGCAAAATTAATTTCTGTAAAGACAGATGTCTCTGAAATACTTGGGGTTTTTTTCTGCAATTTCTGTTGCCTTTATATCCCTTCATTTTCTTACAGAGAATTTTTATTTCAATAGAAATTTGAAAATACAAATAGTTCCATGGTTCAGTCTCTTACTATTTCTTCTATGAGAACACTCTTAGGATTCTGTTGTCAAATTCAGCAGCCCAGTAGGCTCAAGGCCTGTGTCCCCATGTGTAATTAGCCTGTGACAAGCCGGGGCATGTATTCTCTACAGTCTCACATGCAGCACGTCACTTGACCTGTAATTTTAATATTTCTGTGATGATAACTGAAAAAAGTAAGATGCACATCCAGAAAAATATCATATTTTGCATCTAAATTTAGAACACAACAATACCTTTCTCTTACTCTTCTGTGATTGTCAAATTGAAGTAAATGATTTAGCAGAATAAGTTGTACAGACTTTCATTATGATTTGATCTTTGTTACTCACCTAATGTGTGAAAACTCATTCTACTCTTAATTGACTGTTTAAATTTTTTTTTTTTAAACTACAAATGCATTAGCATTGTCCTGTCCCAGGAAGTGCACAGCTCTCTGTTACATCTTTAGAATGTATGTGAGTTTTCTGTGTCAGAGATACTTATTTATGCTTACATATGTATGTGTAAGTGAAAGAGACAATCCCTTTTACATCAACAAATACGTATTACAGAAAGCACATAGTTATTGTTTTATTAGCAAAGTTACTGCAGAATTATCATAAGTTAATAAATGACTCATTATTCGAAAAGTACTTTCCAGTATTTTGAAATAACTTGGTCAGTAATAAGCAGGTGTGGCACATAAGGTCTAAACTTCATATACAAGAATCAAGATTTTACCTATAAAATGCAGTCCTCAGCTGATTCCTGGCTGTGAGGAGGCAGGTTGTTGTATTTGAATGAAAAGGAAATTTCAAGCACGATCAGACTATAAAGGAAAATGAGTAGGTCTCCTTCTGTGGTGGTATGAAAAAAAAAAATCAATGCATGGTATTTAATTTCAAAACCTTTCTGTTTTGTTTTCACCATCTGGCACATTCAAATAGTGAAATTCAGCAATGAAAGTTGAATTTGCTTTCACCTGTTCTGTTTCTTGAAGGAAGTGTGTATGTGTGTGAGTAACTGTTGCAATTCAGCTGAGGCAGCTTTGAGACTTGGCACTGTCAAGAGCAGCACTGTGGCCGAGCAGGAGCACAGCGTGTCTGGATTTGGTTTTATAGGTGTGAAGTTGGTTTTAAATGTTTAATTACATGCAAGGAATTATGTTCTCTTATAAATTACTGCTAGGTCAGGCTGAAACCCTGAACCAGGGTATATGGTTTGTCAGGGGACTTTCAGCCTCTTGAATGCTGACAGTTTCTCTTTGTCCAGCGTCCCTTTCCGCAGTGACAGCACTGCGAAAGTTCTTACCAGCACACATCTTGTGTTCCTCAGTTATCTCAGAAATAAATGAATTTGAAAGATGTTTCGCTGTTTATGAGACTTGTCTTCCTGACTTATGAATCCAGGCAATTTTTGTTCAAATACCAGCCCTGCAAGGTCAATTTAACCAGCGGAATATAAAGCAGTTTTCTGTCTGATTTATTCTTCTCCCGAAGACAGACTTCTCAAGAGTGACATGATAGAAAACAATTCTGTAGTCCAGGGTTGTTACTGTTTGCAGTTAGAAATAAACCAGAATAAATAATTAAACCAGTTTTTCATTGTTTTATTTAGATACCAGAAAATGTCTTAAGGGTTTTTTAGCTGTGTTTTATAGAAACTTTCACACTTAGTATAAAATGCTTGTAATTTTTTCAGCAAGATCCAGAATCTAAAGAAACCCAATCTCTTTATGGTAATACAGAATATTCTCCATCCTTCCTTTTGGCTCTTCTGATTTTGGAGTCAGTTTTTAGTATATTCTTATTCCACATCAGACAAATGCAGTTTGTCAGACAGGGTATTTAATTCAGGAACGAAGTCCTTCTGTAATTAATACACCTTGTAATTTGGCTGGAGGCAACAGGACTAATAGAATCTTAAAGGCAAAATATGGAGAAAGGGAGTATGAAACGCAGAAAATAAAAGGAAGGAAATTCTGTTAATTTAAAATATAACAGAAAAAAAAAGATTTGTGAGAGAGAGTGCTTTGAAGGGAAAACGCATTTGAATCATAACAATTCAGTGCATGTGACAGAAGTAGCTAAAACCATGTAAACATGATCAAATATCTGTGTTTTAAGGATTTCCAAATGTGCGTTATAAACAGCAAAGCAGCTGTGCCTGCAGTTGTAAATAAGGGATTTTTTTCTTCTATTTAGACTGCACTATAATAATTCTCTTTCTTCCTTCCCAAGTGACTGGCCCAGGAGAATTTAGATTATTTAATGCTTATAATTTAAAGATGACACTCAAGCCTTTTTTCTTCCTTACTCTGTTCTTAGGTCTATTTAACCACAATTTTGCAGAGTAAGTGCCAGATTTCTTGTACTGTTCATTGTTCATTTTTGGCATTTTGGAATTCATCTCTATGAGAAAATAGAACTAGTAGTTTTCTGAACTTAAATAGGAAAAAAATTTCCACTTTCTATTCCCATTTCAGGAAAGCAGTTTAAATGTACAGTGTGTGACTATACAGCTGCCCAAAAACCACAGCTCCTACGTCATATGGAACAACATGTCTCTTTCAAGGTAAGGAAACATAAATCATGCTTATTTAAATCATACTTAAAGTGGTTAAGAAATACATGAAACTTTAGACAACAGTTTAAAATTGTCACATTTTCCTCTTTGGTGACAATTATGGTACATGAACATTTTAATATTTTGGAAATTTTAACTGTATATTCAGACTTTTGAGATAGGTTACCTTGCTCATGGACAATTTGTAATTAGTATCTTTACTTGGCAAAAATATCTGTTTGTTGAAATATAAACCAAATATTATTGGGTTTTTTTGACTGTCAGTCCTTGAGAGAACAAATCTAAAAAATACCCTAAAATGTTCTATTGAGGTAGGAAAGCAAATCCCATACATCCCTGTTCATTTCGCACTTTATTTTTCTCTGAAAATTTGCCAGTCTTTGTACTGTAGGTGAGTTCATATACTTGAAAATTGAAGAGAATTAATTTTAAAACACCCCATTTGTCTGAAATAGGTCTTAGAAAGAGTTTTGAAGATTGTTAATGTTTCTAGGAAGTATTTAGATTAGAGATATGATTTATTTTAATAAACTGTAATATGGTTTTATTTCTAGATTTTGTGTTGGTTCTCACTGTGATAAGTCTTGATGTAATGAATTGTGAAATGTTATATTCAGTACATAGAAATTATACTAGTTTATTTTCCAGAAAAAGCTAGTGTTTTATATTTATGAAAATATACACTTTAATATAATGCTTTATCTTGGCAATAAACATATTTCTTATTGAAAACATCACACTGTTTTCATGTGCAACATCTTCCATTATCTAACAGATCATTTTGCTTCCATAAAGAGTACACTGCAGCCATTCTTAGTAAGCACCATAAAGCAGAAAGGAAAGCCGTCCTTTCAGTGGTGGTTCAAATTTTGGAAGATGAGGTATTTAAGAGATGATATATTTTGAACAAATAATTTTTCTTTCTTAAGGATATGGTTTTGCTCTGGACTTTCAAAATCCTTTTGAAAAGGATTTTTTGTAAATGAAAATGCATCATTTTCCTTTTTTGATGGCTAAAGTGATAAATGTACTCATAGTGTAGTTCTTGAAACACAGCTGATTCTGACCTCTGGATCGGCCTGCACATAAGTGTAGCAATTCAAGGCATTGGCCAGAGAACTGCAAAACACTGAATTAGGTCAATCAGGAGTATTTATTTAAAGGAGTTCAACCCTGTTAGTAATGTGTCCCTTCACTCTAGGACAGATGTTTGTGTGCTTCTCAGACTCAGAGACATGTCACTACTTATGTGACCTAATGATCCTTTAATCCATCCTATTTCCCAGCTCCACGGATTTGCAATCCTGCTGTCCAATAGCAAGTAATATACATGACTTACAGGAAAGTCGAGAGTGGTGCAAGAACACAGCAGTGTGTCTGCATTATTTTCTTGAAAAAACAGCAGTTTCAGCAACAGAGAAGCAGAGTATCCCTGTGTGGAAAACTGAATAGCTGAATGTCACAGTACCCTCTGATGTGTAGGGCTAAAGGAGCCGGAACATCACTTTTCATCCTTATTTTTGCTGTTTGGAGCCTGAAGGAAGGTCACGAGCAACAAGCTTTGAGGAGTGTTCTGGTCAATGGACTCTGACTGCAGACATTTCCCTGCTTTAAATTCATCTTCTGTAAACATTTCTGTACCAATCGTTTTCTGCTGACTAACTTTAGGTGGGCCTGCTTGCTGAGCATGAAACATTTTCCATCCCATTCTGAGGTACTTGACTTTTCCCTAAGGACTTTGGTCCTTTTCCAGGACCCTGATGGTTATGTCAAGCTTCCAATAACTGTGATATATCTCAGTCAGGAAGTTATTCTCGAAGGTTAACTTCAGTCACAAGTGCTTTTTTTTCCCCTGTCCTTTTTTCTTAAGAAATTACTCCTCCTGTCAGTTGAAGGGAGACGTATGTTCTTAAAAAATAATTAATTTAGTTCCCAAAATTAACTCGCCAAATGGTCAGAGGAATGTAAGTGCCAGTGAAAGGATTGGGAGCATGCTGGAGAGAGAAGGAAAGGAGAGGAAAGAGATGAACCCTGCCAGGTACAGTTACCTGTTAAATTAGGTTGGCTACCATTTGTACCTTCAGTTATTTGAGCTGTCTTGCTCCCCCTTTTCAGACCAAAGCTCATGGCAGCTGAGTAATTTCCTTATAGTAGAAAATCTCCACATGGTCAGACCTGTGATCTTCAATTATGAAAACACTGAACTACAAAAAGTAATGTTGAAAATACTCGGTGTCTTGCACATAACAAAAAGTACCAAATTTTAGGTAACATTTAGTTTCAACTTCTATTTATATAAAATTTTGGAAGGTCTCCTTGGGAGGTGCCTAAACCAGAAATGAATATGGTTTCTTGGGATCAAAACATTGCAGCTTGGATCTGTATCCTGAAGAGGTGAGGAGATCAGTGTAACGTTTTCCTTTTTGCTCACAGCCCTTCCGATGTGCACATTGCCACTATTCCTGCAATATATCTGGTTCCCTGAAGAGGCATTACAACAGGAAGCATCCTAATGAAGAGTATGTAAATGTAGGGTCTGGGGAGCCTGCAGCTGAAGCCCTTATCCAACAAGGTACATCTTCACCCTATAAAATTGTTACTTTTTTTTTTTTTTTTAAGTAAACTTGGTGTAAAGATAAATTTTTGTGCAGTATGCATTCCTCAGTTTATTGGGTGTTATATGATAAATCATTGCTACTTCTTAGCAATTCTGAAATGAGCACCCTTTACCCTTCATTCAGTGTCCTTTGTTCTTGGTTTACCAAAAGTTTAGTTTCACCTTGCCTGTACTATTCATTGTTGCATACATTTATCATTTACACTTGTTTGTCTCCTTCTGTAAGTAAAGTATCACTGTCTGTTTGAATGAGTGATAAATTTCTATCATTCTGCTGATAAATTTCTGTGACAATTCTGCAAGGTTGAATTCAAGGTAAGGATGAGCAAATGCAAGGGAAGAGACTGAAGAGTAAAATGCCAGCAAATTATTCCTCCATTAGTAAAACCTGGGGACAAAGAGAGTTTGGGTAAAACTAGTTTTGAATTTGTGATTGTGAATTGTGTTTTTCCCTATTTTTAAATAGAAACTATCAGCAGTTTCATATCTTTCGGAATCTTCAAAGTTTCTGGTTTTGTTGAAGTGGAACAGAGACCAAAATAATGCCATTGTGTTAGATAATTAATTAAATATAATTCTTCTAATACGACATTATTAATAGATGGTATTTCCAAATCATCTAAGATAGAACATTTATTTATTGAAGGCATTAATCCATGTTAAAATACTGAAGTCATGACACAGAGAAAGATGCTCAAAGTCTGATATTCTTCCTATAAACTGGCCCTATAAGGGAAAAAATATATAACTACATTGAGGAATTTGACCATTGTATTAGTGTTATATTTATATGATTTTCTTATGTGATATAAATTATATATTTATATGACATTTGTTTCCTTTTTGTCAAAAAAACAACCAACCAACAAAAAATAATTTCAAAAGTAAATCTCTGCCTATAAATTTCAGAGTAAGAATGCATAGTATAATTTTAGGATTATTTTCACAGACAGTGAAAGCTGACAGGGAACCTGCAGTTGTTTTAAAGAAGTAATATTGACTTGGTCAGTGCTCAGAGCCTCTATTCTGTAGTCACCCTGGTGCAGGAAGAACTGTGCGCTGTGGGGAGCTTTATTTAACTTTCCAAATACCTGAGCACTGCAAGGAATTATTTGTTCATAGCCACTCTTAAGCATAGGGACCTGAGGATGAATTCTGTTAATATAAATTAGGGACCATACTTGCAATATTTTGAACAAATAAAATTAATCATATGCTAATTAGGCTTTCCTTCCCCTTTGGGAGCCAGATAAATGCACTTCTGGAAATAATTCTTTTCCACTGAAACAAAAGAACTGAAATGTTGAGAATGCAGTAGTCTTAAAGTGGAGAAATTAGAGAGAGATTGAGAGAGAAGAGCCTTTAATTTTTTCTGTGGTGGGCATCCTTTTTCCACCACATTAGAGCATTGGACAATGATTAAGAGGACGAAATTTAATAAGTCCAAATGCCAAATTCTGTACCTGGGACAGAATCATGCATGGCACAAGTCTAAATGGGGAGAGGAGTGGCTGGAGATCATCCCTGCAGACACAGAATCACAGAATGGGTCAGGTTGGAAGGGACCACAGTCGGTCATCTGGTCCAACTTTCCTGCTCAAGCAGGGTCATCCCAGAGCACGTGGCACAGGATTGCATCCAGAAGGATGTGAAGGTCTTTGCATCCAGAGGGAAACAAAGCTGATGAAAGGGCTGGAAGGCATGTCCTGTGAGGAGCAGCTGAGGGCTCTGAGCTTGTCTAGTTTGGAGAAAAGATGGGTGGCTGAGGGGCGACCTCACTGCTCTCTGGCTTCCTAAGGAGAGGAAGGGAAGAGGGAGGTGAGGAGCTCTTCTCCCTGGTATCCAGTGACAGGATGCATGGGAATGGTTCGAAACCATTCCTGGGAGTCTTGGACTGGACAGTAGGAAGCATTTCTTTACTGAGAGGGTGGTCAAACAGCTGAACAAGCTTCCTAGAGAGGTGTTGATGCCCCAAGCCTGTCAGTGTTTTTGAGTCATTTGGACAATGCCCTTCACAACACACTTTAGCTTTTGGTCAACCCTGAATTGGTCAGGCTGGATGGTTGTTGTAGGTCCCTTCCAACCAAATTAGCCTATTCTGTTCTTTCTATCTCTGACTTTGTATCCCTCTTTCTCTTCCCTTCCTTACACATCATTTATACTTCCTGTGCTGCCAGCAGTGGCTGTTTTCCGCATGTTCACCTCATGTGAGGAGCTTTAGAGCAGTAACAGGGCATCAAATCCATGTAGGAGCTATAAAGTCAATGTCTCTTCTCAGGACTGTGCCATGAAGAAACTCTACCATGTTAATAGGTGTGATTTTCCCATATTCAGCTTCCTTTTCCAACTCAATTTCCTTCTCTGTGATGCCTCACATGGATCTTGCCCATGGGCTCAAAATAAGACTAAGAGATTTCTTATCATGCTATAGAAACATCAGTTTTTCTTGATCTTTTGGTATCTCACTGGGGGAAAGAGTGTTCCTTGTGGGAAACATTTGCATTTGGAGGTGATAAACATGAATCTTTTTGAAGTTAAAAGTTTTCCTAATTGGAAATCAGATGATGTTCGCAAACACATCACTGTGGACACATTATGCACTGTGACAAGTCTGTACTTGTCATACATGACACTTGTGTGTCATACAAGTTATTAGATATTAGGAAGAAGTTCTTTACTGTGAGGGTGGTGAGGTACTGGTACAAGTTTCCCAGAGAAGTTGTGGATGCCCCATCCCTGGAAGTGTTCAAGGCCAGGTTGGATGGGGCTCTGAGCAACTTGGAGCACTGGGAGGTGTCCCTGCCCATGGCAGAGGGGTTGGGACAAGATGATATTTGAGGTCCCTTCCAACCCAAACCATTCTATGATTCTATGTGTTTCTGAGCTGTTTGGGCCAGGAGTTGCACCCCGCTGTCTGAAAAGCTTCTGTTTAGTTCCAATTTACTGTATTCATAGATCTGAAAGCAATTTCGGAAAATTATTCATGTATTCATATAAGGGAAGAAGACCTTTCAGACCTGATATTAAACAAATCCTTTGAAATGAAAGGTCTATAGATGAAAAGGAAAAGGCAAGAGAACTAGCAAGCAAGAGGATTTGGAAAGAAATTGAGGAGGGAAAGTAACAAAGATTAATATCTAATAAAAGCTGTCTATATCTATTCAGATTGTATTCTGCTTGTTTTAAGTTACCCACTGAGCCCAGAGTGAATTCCCTCACACTTGCTCGTCTCCTCTACTCTCAGCTGGGTTTTGACTGCATTGCAGGCACTGCAAATAATCTTAATTGGAAATATTTATATGGATGTAGACTGCTGGACTGTACTCAGGATTCCCAGAATGAGTTTATAAATAAATGAATGATTCATAGAAGGAACTGTGTTCATTTCAGCAACTGCATTGCCAAAGATAGACAGCAATATTTAATTTCTGAGCTTGTATTAGAAATTGGGATCACCCAGGATCAGAGAAATGCTTGGGATTTTGCAGTGTGTGTGTATGTTTCTTAGTTTAAATAGAAGTCTATGATCTGACATTTATTTTAGTATTTTAAAGTAATAAAGGAAAATAAATAGCATAAGAATTTGATGTATTCTGCAGAGGGTACAAGAGTATTAGATATGCATTGCCCACTAGTTTTTCTGCAAGGCCCTGCTCATTTGATAGCTTGTTTTTTGTTTTCTTTTGCTTCATGTTGGGCAAATCATATAAAATTTTCCCCAAATTGTTTCTTTTCTCTGCATGGATACTCTTTACCATCCATTGTTCTGTTTATGATGAGAGACAGATTTTCACTTTGTGTTTGTGCAGTGACTTATGCAGTACATACATGACAACCTATTTGTGGCCTCTATGTTCTGTTATACAAATATATACATGCTTTCTTTGGCCAGAAAATAATAGTTGTCTTATGGAGATTTTAGGTTAAAAGTAAAATGGAAAGCGATGTCAATGGAAGCAAGTTGTGGAACTACATAATATTTGTGTGCAGTATTTTGCTGCAGACATCAGTTTTGGTCTTAAAAGTAGTTAAGGTGTGTAATTCATTGACTTTGTATGTCACCTATTATTTTAAAGAATTATGTAGAAATTAATTTTTCTGAGCTTTTGTATCAAGTCACTGACATGGATTTATGTATTACCAATTTAATTTTATACTTCTGTTATTTGTTCTTTAATTAAAACCATAATGACAAAAGTTACAGATTTAATTTACCTGGTGTGTTGTTATAACAGATTCGATATCAAAGTAATGTGGAAAAGTGTTCACTGTTTCACTCCAATGGCTTTTTCCTAATGCTACAGATTGGTGTGAAATTAATATGTAATTTCATTTTCTGTAACTGATTATATCTTTGTTCTAATCTGAACTTTTTGAGTGAAACTATTTCAGTTTTGTTTAAGATGGAGTACTGAGCATCTTCTGTAACAGTAAAGTTTGGTAAAGGCCTATAATAGAGAGCAAAGAGGAGGATTTTTAGAGGAATAATTAGTGTTGGTGAAATACCCTAGTGGCTCTGTGTAGTTATATTCTGTTTTATCAAAATAAAAAGTTTATTTCTTTTCACCTGGTAGAATACCATATGGTAGGTTTCTATTAATGTAAAATGGGATGGTTTTTTCTAATCACCTTATTCATAAAAGGCTGTGCAACCAGGTCTTGGCTTATAACCAGCTTCTGAGGGTCTGTTTGAAGCATTTGAACATGATGGGTAAGAATCATCATTTACCACAGTAATGTGGATTCAGCCATCTGGTATCACAGTTCCTAGGGTGGCATAAGGCACTTCCCCAGCCATTAGATTTGTTAGAGTTAGTTCTGGTCACCTAAAGCAACACTTTATCACATGCAGATTATTTTTATTCTGCTTTAGTCAACAGAGGGAAAAAAGAGAAATACTTATTTGCATAATTACAGGCAGCTGAGATCTGACACTTGGTCAAATGACTTTCATAAGAAAAATAAGTAAAAGCTGTTTAATCTAGTGTAGAAAATTTGATTCTTATGATTTTGTCATGCTCAGTTTTTTACCTGTAATGCTGCAAGCTGAGACAGAGAACATTGTGCTAAATTCATGCTAGGCATCATTTTATACACAGAAAACTTAGATTTACAGCTTTATATGTTAACATAAAACTCTCAAAAGAAAAGATAGTTGGGTGAAGATGACATTATGTTATTAACTCTTCCTAGTTTACTTTGATTATGTATCAAAAAGTATTAGTTTGTTTGGAACTTGAGAAATGGGGTCAATTCAAACGGTTTGTTACTGCCTTGAAAAAGAATTTCTATGAAAATAACTCAAGGAACTTATTTGTGTTTCCCTATAGGTGGCATTAAGTGTCCTGTTTGCAGCTTTGTGTACGGTACAAAATGGGAGTTCAACAGGCATCTTAAAAACAAGCATGGAATGAAGCTGGTGGAAAATGATGGGGAGACCAAGTGGGAGGTAAAGCAAAGTTGCCATGGCTTTGACCCTGAGATCTTTTAAAATTCTGGGGAGAAAAGGAAGGATGATAATAAGAACTATACAAAAATGTAGATTTGACTTCATGTAAGCTTAGATGGTCGTGTGATCTCATCTTCATTTGAATGCATACATGGCTATGACTGTTAAACTTTAATATATGGTAGGATTAACGACCTTGTAAATGCTTTTTTTTTGCACTTTAGCCCTCCAGTCCTCTATTTGCAGCAGAAGGTTCTAAAAAAAAAAAGTGAAATTGAAAAACTTACTGAATTTTTTATATGCCAAATATTAACTGGTGTTAACTACAAAATGAGCAAAGCTGAAAATTTATACTGAATTAATGAAAAAAACTTCTCTTTTGGTCCAGAGGAGGTTAGAATCTAGAATACTGATTTTGTAAATTGAACATCTGAAAAAATGGTAATGTTATATAGAGTCAGTCTTCTATCATTTGTTCTGTGGTTTCATCTTCAGTCCAAAGTATATGGAAAATGTGGATCCCTTCCAACTCAGACTGTTCTGTGATTCTGTGAAAATCACAGTATCTCTAAGATCAGACTTTAAAAAAAAGTCAAGTTAGACCTAAGAAACTGAGTTTGAAAAAACCCAAACAACCTGAATTTTCTTGATTTGGAGTGGGGTAGGACAGCTACCATGAGAGCACAATAGCCCTTTCAAGCTTTCCTCCATACACAGGACAATTTGTTCTAAAATGGAAACTCTTACCCTTACAGAGCAGAGCTGACTACAGATGCAGAGTCTGTGGGAAAACCACAGAGATTCAGACACTTTTATTTAAAAAATTACAGTTGGCAAGCTGAGTCTATTCCACTGCCTGGGTAGGCTGGTTTTGATGTTCAGTGAGAGGAAGAAGCCAGAAGTCAACTGCAGTTGGCTGACCTGCACAGTGTAAGACCTGTTATGCTAAATTTCAACCTGGCTCCCATTATGAGTCTAGTGCCTGATTTGTAAGAGCTGACCTGCAGATCTTGTCTAATAGTTATTGAGTAGCCACACACAGAAGGTTAAATCCTTGAAAAATACTAGAGTAGATTCTATTTGGACAGTTATTCAAAGAAGACAGGACAAGCATTTTAAAATGTCGTCCTTCAAAGTCTTGTATCCACATTTCAAATGATTCTCTGTACATTTTCCTAGTAAAATGCCCAAAGCTGAAAAAATTAGAGGGCATCCTGTGTTGCAGACACGTCTCTGCTTCTGAACTGGCTAGAAAGAAAGAGTCCCATCCGAGCAGGAGTACATATTAAGAGCTTGTCTTGAAAAACATAGTTTATGGAAAGGATAAGTTTTCTGAAACAAAATGCCATTTTCAAACTTGAGTCGTTTTACCAGATCTGTATTAATTTGGCTCAAAAGGTCCCTGCTAAACCCTGATACGATAGAAGTCTATTGTTAGTTCGAAAAGAACTGCAAGAAAAATGAAGTCAGGATAATTCAGCATATTTAAACAACTTTTGAAGTAGAATCTAGAAGAAAACTGTGGGATCATATCCTGACTCTCATGTAATATTCTTCTTGAATTCTGTTTCACACAGTATTTCTATAACTCTTGTTACAATACTTGTTGTCCAAGTCTCACTCTGTATTGTTCTTTAAATTGCTAAAATGAGATTATTCATGCCTTGTCTGGGTTTTGTTTCCAAGTTAACTGCTGAAGTTTCTGAAGAAGCATCCACTCAGTATGTCCATATCACAGAGGCTGGAGAAGATGTTCAAGGCACTCAAGCTGCTGTCGCTGCATTACAGAACCTTAGATATACTTCTGAGAATGGTAAGCTACCTTTTTTTTTTTTAGGTTGGAACACAAGATACATCTTTTTTTCATAAATAGCTAATTCTTTTGAGTATTCTGGGCAATAAAAGATCTCCTGTGATCTCCTATTAAAAATGATGAAATTAGTCATCCAGAACTTACTTCTGGGGGGCTATACTTTCTTTGAGGATAAATGAGAAATTACCATTCTTTATGAATTTCTGTATCCTTAAGTCATTAATGCTTATCACAGCCTGTTTTGCACTTTATTATTAGCTGTGTGGAATTTCCTGCCTCTATTATTAAATATACTGTGAAATCAGCTATCTTGGCAGAGTAGATGGTGTGTATCTAATGGCAATTCCCTGGCTATTATTTCTCTCCCTGCTTGAGGCAGCCAGACTGCAGGAGTGACATGGTGGAATAGCTCATTTACCACGTTCCCAAGGCAGTACTAACAAACTCAGTTTTGATGGCACACAAAACTAAGTGAGCTATTCTGTATCAGACCGAGGAAGAAAAGAGTGGTATTAGATAATGGTTGCTAAGGGAGAAATAACAAAAAATGGAGGAAAAGGAAAAAGTGTCCAGGTTTCTGAGAGTGGTAAAACATCAGAGACTAGAGGTTTGTTTTATGTTTTGTTTTTATATATATAAAACTAAGTAGTTATCAGAAGACGGCATTTTACAAATTGTTTACCTTCCTTGTCTTCATAGCTCATAATACAAATAAATAAATAAATAAAATAAACATGATCATGGAATATGCTGCACATGGCAGTTGTGACTTTAAGCACAAGGCTGTAGTTTTCAGAGTAGAACGATGTGCTTTTTAGTGCATCCAATTTCAGATTTTCTTCCAGCATATTCCCTCTCAGTATGAAAAACAGCAGCATTTTGCCTAAAGGCAGTTTTATAGGAAAGAAAGCAAGCATTTTTCAGTACTCAGATAAAATTGTTTTGTACGTAAATAACAAAATCTAACCACTTTCTGGTTTTAATTAAATTGTCTGACCTAGGTTCTCATCACAGTATCAACCTCAGTGTGAAAGGGTTTGGGGTTAAGAGATGGGATTTAATCTATTTGCTATCTCATTCCTAGTTCTAACAGTGATTAAAGCAAATATAAGGCAACTTTATATGACTCTGACAGTTTCTTTTGCTTTCTGACTGTGGTTATAGGTGTATATAGTCAGGTTCTGTTTGAGGTAAATGTCTGGCAAATACACACTTGGATTTGTAAAGTCTTGCAGCTTCACTAATTTGCAGTTACTGCTGTGAGTTGTGCCTGTTGTTTCTTATTCAATGTGTTCTTTTAGATGTCTTTCAAACAGGCATAAAAGTGATCAGTGTGGCTTCACCTGCTGATTTCAGGCATTCCCTGGGCACATTTGTTTTGTGAATATTTCCCTGCCATAGTGTCTGTTATTGGATTTTCTTGTTACTGAACCGTTTGAAATGTACAAACACTGAGTCGGGGCTAAGGCAGGAGGGGAAAGAGAGCCTGTTGTACCACTTAGGTTCATGTACCCTTAGAGCTGTTTTACTGTAATGATCTTATGGCTGCTATCTTTCTGATAAGGTGAAAGACTTGATCCAACGGCTGTAAACATCCTGCAGCAAATCATTGAGTTGGGTTCAGAGTCCCACGATGCCACAGCAGTTGCTTCTGTAGTTACGATGGCCCCTGGCACGGTGACAGTGGTAAAGCAGGTAAGAGCTCTTTTTCCTCTCCAAAGCAGATATATTTAATTTTCATGTATTTGTTGTGAAGTGGGTGTTACTTTACAAGGGCCAGATTTTACATGACCATGCAAGACATGCGTAGAATTTTTTCTGAACTGTTTTTTTTTTACTGTGTGTTGCCTGTATGTCTCTTTATATGTCTACACATATCCCTGTTTATACATATGTGCATATATATCTTTTTATATAGAAAAATGGATATATTTTTGTATGTATGTAAAATATGAGTGAATAAATACACATATATATGTACATTTGTATGCATGTGAAAATACAGTGCTTTTTTGAGCAGTGTGCCCAGGCAGTTAGTGCCATTGTTGTCTAAAAGAATCAGGAGGTCCTTGGTGCAGCAAGTAAAAGGACATAATTTTCAATCTGAGGTGCCTCTTGGGTTAAAACGTCATGACTCAGTATTTCCTCCTCACAGGTCTGCTAAGTTTGTTGCTTACGTTTTTCATTCTTCTCACTCCAAACTCCACTTATTCCTTCTGTTTCATCATAGGCCTTTGCTTATCCTTTTTCCTATTGTGTTCATCAATTCATTGGGCTCTCTGCACTCAATGTGGTTGATAGGTGAGAGAAGGAAAGTACATGAGAAATTTTAACTTCATGAAGAGTTTAGGTAACTCCTTTTATTTAAATGAACCAAAACTGATTATTTTGAGTGCTAGAGCTAACTTTTGAGTTCAGCATTTTTTGTAGCGTTGTGGTCATTAAGTTCATGAGAGCTTCACAGAAATGGGAAGTTCATAGTCTGTGGAATATCTGATAATTCCTAAACTTGCTGTCCAAATTTAATGGAGACAGAATTTCAAGACAGAGCAGTTTGAGATGTTCCTTTGAAATCCTTAACAGGTATTTTGATTAGAAACCCTATAAGAGTTTGGTGATGGGTTTTTTGGGGTTTTTTTTGGTAAAATAACAGATCCTAATTTGGAAACTAAATTCAGTCATTAAAGAGAAGAAACAGTTTAGTCCAATTTTGTGCAAGTTTCAAAACAACTTTTACAGTAGAGTAATTGCCAATGTGCATACTGTGCTATACATATGTTCTGTTTAAGGTTGAATGCAGCATTAGCCATTGGTGTTTGCCCTGTCTGTAAATGTTACTGAAACTGGTTCGTCCCTTAAAAATGCACCTTTTGATGCCTTTCTACTAAAAGTTTAGAAGAAAGGGGCTGCTAAAGTAGCAACTACCAAGAAGTAATATTTTGATATTTTAGTGTTATCAAAAATACATAATTTAAAAATCTGGTGATTCTTCCTCCTCCAGTTGTTAAATCTGATCAATGTCTGGTTCATCTTAAAATCTATCATCTTCATTGTTAGACCATCTGAATTTGCTGGTAGCTATTTGTAAGTAAATATTAATATTCCAAATTAATTTTCTTCCTTGCTTCTTAATCCATATTTCTAGCCTTTTGAGTTTACAAGCTGCTAAGCCTTGATCACTTATTTTTCCCTTGCCTTGTGTACATCAGTGACTCTCACTGATCTGATGTCAAACTCTTACAAGCCCCACTCCTATATCAAATGAAATACTGAATTCTTGGAGCACAGAATCTCTTTGCTGCTTTACTTTTTTATCTCCTCTCCCTCCCCACCCCATCACTTAAATCTTTTTAATATAAAGCAGCTTTTTTCCCCTACTTCTAAATGGCACAGAAGCAAAATCAGTGAAGAATTCAGATACCTCTCAAGCTGAGTGATGTTGCGCTACCTCTGTTTACGATGACTTTTGCTAAGGATTTACACTGATGCTCAAGGCACTGTTCCTCTGTGAACATGTTTCTTGCCTGTTCTGAAATACCTGCTCATTTCTTTCTCTGGTAGCCCCAGTACTCACTCTGTGTGTGCAGGAGTTTGCAGATCTGTGATTTCCCAGGGGAGGATCAGGTCACTGCTCACTGACCTTTAATGGACTTTGTGGAGGCACAGCAGGGACCAGGGGACCTCTGCAGATGATGATGATGATGATCTATCTTTTTAAATTTTTTTTCTATCATTTTTCTATGTTGTTATTTTTTATATAATTCAGTGTTTTATCAAAGTCTGTCTGTTCTGTTATAGAGCTGTAGTTACTTTCCAGCCTGTCTTCTCACCAGAAGATTGCTCTGGAATTACGGGCACCCTCATTTGTAATCTGAGGGAAAGAAGTCTTTAAATGTTATTAACATGACTTACTGCTTCCCTGTTCAGGACAAGATTTTTCTTCAGTACAGAGTTGCTTTCTGTGGGATATCCCTCACTTGTACCTACGACTATGTCAGGTTTTAACTGTAGTAGGTTCCTAACTGTTAACCTTGAAGTGACCTTAAGACGTGCATGTTTCACTTTCCTTCTGAAAAACTCATTCCAAACTTTCTTCTATGACCTTCAGCTTCTCTTGTGGATTGTGAGACAAAGAATTCATTCAGGGTGTCAGCAATATATCAACATCATCTGTCACTGAATTTCCACTCTTGTACTTTAATGGCCTCACCGAGTCCTTGCTTAGCAGCTTGGTCCATTTTTTTTTCCTTAACATTTATTGTAGTTCTGATTTTTATCATGTTAGATTTGTTTTTTTCTTTTTTCTCTAAGGACGTACATTATCCATTTTTTATTTTAGTTCTTACCTTCATATCTCATTTTTAGCTAACCCTTCCATGTTGCCTTCATATTTCTCTATTACCACCAAGAAATTTCTTCTCAATCATAAATTACTAGAATGTTTTTAAAAGTATTTTTTTGCTGTAAATGTTACACTGCAGTGTTCCTATTTTTGTCTTCCATTTCCTCCATGGAAATTTTTTTCTCCCACAGTTGTCCTTTCCTTACTTTTCACTCATAAAAGTCCCATTTACACTTAATCCTTAAAATTATGTGTGAATCCAGCTGCATCTGTCAGTAGTGCTATCATCCTCATGCTTTAGCCCTTCCCTAACCTGTGTGCTTACATACCTTCAGTGTGCTGTACTTGTAGAGATTCAGGGTAATGCAAGACTTTTGCCTGCAGAAACAAATTGTCTTTAGCTGCAAGTCCTTTTCAGCATCTTGGAACATTTCTGATGTATTAGTTAAGTCTAACCAGTGAAAGTTTAAAATTGTTTTTGACTAGGTCACAAAACAGAAAGGATACCATGGTTGAGGGATTCTTCTGTGAAATTATTGTTCTGGGTTGCTTGTAGTCTTACTGCAAGTATCTTAAATTATGAGCACACATGATGGACCTGACAGTAAGATCAGATTGTCTCTTCAAAGCTCCCAGCTCCTGAATTGCATGTTGAGAAGAAAAATATTTCAGTTATGACTTTGGAAACTTCTTGCTTTTTGTTCATCAGAATGATTTTATAAAAGAAAGTGCTTTGATAACATAAAAATAGCCAGTCCCAGCCTGGCTCAGGATTCAGCCTATGATTTTAAATCCCAAAAAAGCAAAGCTATCCTTGCGATTGGGAAATAGGACTCACTGTTTGCTCTGATAGTGTCATATGTATAGGAGCTTTCAAAGTTTGTGTCTAGAGCCTGAAATGATTTTAGGTTATTATTGACTGCAAGTCAGTACTCTAATCAGTTATCAAAGTTTAACTTTTTCGTATATCTAACTGGGGAGAAATCTTGTTGTGTGACAGCTATGAAAACATACAGCTGCTAAGGAATGCAGTATATAACAAATGCCCGAGAAAAAAAAAAGTTAATAATGTAATAAAGTTTTACCAATATGATCAGAGACTGGCAAAAATCCACTCTGAAGCTTTGATCACAGCATGGCAGGAGTGTATCCTTGTCAGTTTGAGTCCTTTGCAGTTACTAGTATCCAGTCTGGATCTTTTTCTGAAATGAAGAGCTAATGGAGATATTTCTTTATAGCATGACATTTGAGTTGTTCTGCACTGCTTAAAGACCAAAAAAGTAATGAGGTGGGGGAAAGGAGAGAGGAAAGAGTGTTAAGTTTGAAGAGGAACAAGGAAAGAGGCTAATAAATGCTTAGAAAAGGGAGGAAATGCTGTTCATAGTGGATGGTAAACATAGGCAGGAGAAGGGGAGAAAGCAGTTTTGTGGGAACAGAGCACGAAGCAAGGTGGAAGCACTGGAAGTGTAAACCAAGACACTTCCTTTCTGCTCATTTGACTCTCTGTGTCCTATTACAAATGTACTTTTGCCCTTGTGCCTGAGGGTGGAGATTGATTCATTTGGGTTTTTGTTTATTTTGCTAGCAGAGGCTGTTCAATCCATTATTTATATAGGTGGACTATTTTCCTAGCTCACATGCTGAATATAAAGGCAGGATTGGAGGATGAGCAGTCATGCCAGTATCTCAGACACCCTTGATTTACAGTCTCTCTGTTCAGAGACTTGTTTTTCACACAATGTATCTGTCTGTTGACTGGAACAGAGACAAAGAGTGTTTAACTACAAACTGCCTTGATATATAGTTCTTTCTTTTAGTTTGTGTACATCAAATAAGGATGTTGATTGTTCCTTAAGAAGTTTGTTCCAAGTTAAACATTTGTTTGATTTAAATACTGCGTTACTTGTGAAGAAACATTTCCCTCAGAAATGAGCACCCCTGATATCTTATTTTTTTGCAGAGGAAACTCTTTCAGTGTGTAGTGTCTGTTAAATTATTCTTCAGAGAGACAAGATTCAAAGTGAATTTTTATGGTTTCACAATATATGAACATCCTTAAAAGTTTAGTTCCAGAATCCCTCACTGCATTGTCCAGAACATCAGAAGAGTTGCCCCTTCTTGGTCTGTGTCCATCAGTTTTTTGTTTATAGTTGTTCTTCCATTTCCATTGTTTGTTAGTGGGAATGTGTAATGATAGCAAGATACTTTCTGATTTAATTCATTTATTTTTCATCATTGCAGTGTATTTCTTGTACCAGATCTCTTTGACACAAAGAGTAGAATGCACGTACAGGTCTTTGTCCAAATATGAGTTTTTATTTTTGCATCATTTTATTTTGCAGCCAGAGCAGTA